TTCAAGCATCTATGCATAGGATACGGATCCTTTTTAATTCTGGCGGAAATTAGATGTTTAATTTTATTTTTATTTAAACAAAAATAAATTTATTTTAGTAAAAATATAAAAAAAATTATATAAAACTTATTTAAATGAATTTCACATCATTTTTTTATTTTTTTTTCTTTCCTCATGTTCAACACTCTTTTTCATATTCACTTAAATAAGTTTATTTTGTTTAAATAAAAATAAAAATTAAACGTTTAATAAAAATTGATAACATTAGCTTGTAGTTTATTTAAAAAATTGTAAGTTATTTAGTGAATAAATTAAGAGTTAGTTATTAAAAAAAATATAAGTTTATAATTTTTAAATTTTAACTTTTGAAAAGTTACCTAAAATATTATTTAACTTTTAAAGGCTCAAATTAACATAAATTAGTAAAATAAATGACTGACAAGTGAGTGACAATTTTTAAATTGTTATGTATTTTTAAATTTATAAACAATTCAAATCTTCCATTTTTAACTTAATAATATTAATTTTATAAAAATTTGTAAAATTTCTCTTTAAACTTTCAATAGCTGTTATTTTATATCTTTAAAATATGTTATCTTTTATTTTTAAAGTTCTATTATCTTTTCTAAATTACGTCTATATGTATCCTGTGTTTAGGTGGTAATTTTAAAAAGGATACATGCATTGACGTAGTTTTAATTTATAATAAATTTTTTTAAATAAATAAAATATTTAATATCATTTTTAATTTTTAAAGTTTTACACAAACTCTATGTATGATTAATGATTTTTATAATTAAATCATTAACTTATTTTTATATTAATAAATTATTTAATGTTCTTTTAGATTTTTTTCATGTCCTCTTCCACATACATTGATTTTATTTACTTCACATAATTTCTACAAATTTTACTTAAGCAAAAATTATAGAAAAAAATAATTCACTAAATAAATATCATTTAAGTGGTCATTAATTCACTTAAGTCACATAATATATTCTAATATTTACTTAAGCAAATAAAGTCTAGGCTAAACTAAAATTGAGTATCATATCCTCGTTTAAGCTAAATTATTATGGTTTAAGCAAAATTGACTGAGTTTGAAATAAAAATAATGATTTAAACAAATATTAATAAAATTTGTATGTTTATTATTGTGTAAAATTAACTTAAACAAATATGATATAACTTAAACAAAAATTACATAAAATAATTTTCTTACATTCTTTTAGCATTCTTGGCTCACCCAATATTACTTTCACTCCCACTTTTCTTTTCTTGCCATTTTTTTTCTTTATTTCCTACCATTTTTAATTATTTAATTAACTAATAGCTATAAATAAATAAGCAAAATGAGTGATATTTAATATAGTATTATGTTTATATAATATTACATATTATTTTTAATCATTTAATACATTTCAATTAATTGAATAACTAATGTTATTAAATAACTCTAATTCAATCAATAAACTACACAACCATAAACTTACAACTTTAAGTTTCAGCACACAGCCTTATTCAACGAATCAGATTATTTAAAAGGACTAAGTCATTCAATCGGAATCATTTTTAGAGACGAAGAGTTGGTAAACAGATGCCCCTTAATGCAAATAGTTTTTTGTTTTTTGAACATTACATTTAACATTGTACATATTTATCTACTTTTTTTTTTTCTAATACACATCTAAAACATATTACACAAAATTAAAAGGACCACAAATGTCCCAAATTTTTTTAAAAAATTACTCTAATGCAAACGAAATAATATATAACTCTTTTTAAATGCAATCGAAGTCCCTTAATCACTATTCAAAGTGTAGAAATACAACAAATATCTCAAAGGGAAAAACCCTAAACTCTATTTGCTTATTTTGTTAATTTTAAAACGTCCCCACCCCTCCTGAAAAAAAAAAAAAAAGACTTCTTAAATGCATTCCTTATTGTAATTCTATCCCAACTTCTGAAAAATAAATGAAAAATCCTATAACTCACCATCTAGTTTTTCTAAGACCATTCTTGGATGATGACATGTGATGGAAGTTTGGATTCTGAAAAAAAAAAAAAAATAAGTTCTGAGAATTCAAATAAACACAATGATTCAGAGAACTAAATTTTGAAAACAATTCCCAATGTTCATGAATGTATAACATAAGAGAGAAATTAGGATTTTAAAATTTTTATAGATGATATTATATCCTCGTGAAAAGGCAGTGTATCCATATAAGAATCAAGTTCATATTGGGCAGGGCCTAAAACAAGGGGTTCATCTCGCCCTTTTTCATTTTTTGGTGGCAACGAAAGGATTAGAAGTTCTTATGCGGAAGGCAGTGGCTTGTAGGTTGTTCTCTGGTGTGACGATTGAGGTAGGGGGACCAGATATTTCTTTGCCGCCATTTGCGAATGACACATTAATTATGGGAGAAGTTTCAGTTAGAACTTGTGGACTTTGAAAGCAGTATTGCGTAGCTTTGAGTTAATGTCAGGTATGAAAATTAAATTTCATAAAAATTATGTATTGGGAATTAACACTGGTAATGAGTTTGAAAACTTGGCTGCAGAATTCCTACATTGTAAGATTGATAGTTTCCCATTAAAATATCTTGGGTTACAGTTGGGTATTAATCCGAAGAAATCTAGTGCATGGAAGGGTATGTTAGAGACTCTTAAAAAGAGGTTGGTGTCATGAAAACATGGGTATTTATCGATTGGAGGCAGGGTGACTTTGATCAATGTCGTTCTTAATTCTATGTCATTTCACTTATTATCTTTTTTTAAGGCGCCGAAGTCGGTGTTAAAGGAGATTATCTCTATCCAACGAAATTTTTTATGGAAGGGTGTTAAGAAAGGATCTAAAATTCCTTGGGTAAAATGGGAAACGGTTTGTAGACCGCGAAAGAATGGTGGCTTGGGCATTAAGAATGTGCAGTGGTTTAACTATACGCTTCTTGGTAAGTGGTTGTGGCGAAGTATTAATTGTTTTAGTTCATTGTAAGTGCAGGTGTTGGAAGCTAGATACGACAGATTAACTTCTTCTATTCATCATCCATCAGTCCACAATAGATATTCTTTGTGGTGGCGTGATTTGTTGGAAGTTATTCATCAAGAGAATTCATGGCTAGATAATAAGTTGGATAGGAGTGTGGGTGGAAGTTTGCACCCTCTTTTTTGGATAGATAAGTGGGTAGACGATGTGCAATTGTGTGAGGCATTTCTGCGATTGTTTGTGGTGGTGAGAAATGCTGAATCTTGTATATTGGAGAATGATTTTCATGATAACACTAGGTAGATTTGGGATGTTAGTTGCCAAAGAAGACTATTTGAAAACACTAGGTAGATTCTTTAAGTTGTTATTCAATGCATTCTGCGTATTTATGACTATTTAAACTTTTTAGTAGTCCAAATATGGTAAATCAGTGTACGGAGAACATCTTGCAAAGGCAATGGAGAGGGAAAATCCATCTTAAGTGTCTGGTATTTTCTTGACAATTGTTGTTGAATACATATCCTTGTAAATGTTTGCTGATTAATCGTAGCATTCAAATTGATGATATAACTTATTGCTTCTATCATTATTTTAAAGAACTTCCAACTCATTTATTTTTAACGTACTCAGTTTCATCCCAAATATATTATTTACTACACATGTTGACTTAAATTCTCATTGATTTTGTCTTCAAATTTATTGACCCACTTGCTTTCTTAGGTTAATATTAGTTGTAGTAAAAAAAAAAAAGATGTTTATTAATTATTTAAATAAGTACAATGTGATCTTTGTAGTTACATAAAAATCGAATTATGTTTTCCAATAGTATTTTAGATGAAAGAAAAATTCTAAATTCTATTATTCTAAAGTCCTAAAAATGACTATCACTTATTAGTAAAGGAGAAGTTATTTTATTAGCTGATTAATATTTGAATCCACAATATTGCATGTCTTAATTAAATATAAATATGTTTTTGCTTCTCTTTTTTTTTTAGTAAGTATTAGTTTTTGAGTTCTCCTTGAACTCTCTAATAATATATTTTGCTTATAAAAAAAAAGGTGCTTATAATATGCACTAATAAACTTCTCCACTACTATGCTAGAGTGAAAATAACTTGCCACTACAATAAAACTGCAAAAGAACAAACCAAATAACCATAAAATATTAAGGCTAAAAATTAAAGTGTCAACATAAAAGTAGAGATTACAGTATAAATGTTTTAGCGCGGAATTTTTACTCTTTTTAAGTACTCAAGTTATAGTGAAGTGCACAACATACCTTCGTGCATGATTTTAGAGTACGAGAAACAAAACACGTCGGTAAAAATACGGGGGCCTATTGGTGATTTCTCTTATGCCCTCAGCTCTGATGCCCCTCTTAGGTGTATTAATAACTAGAATCCAAGTATACTCATATTTATGTTTTATTTTATTTTTTAGATATTTATTATGAACATTTTGAAATTGCAAAAAAATTCCTAAGAGGACACATGCTATTTTAGAAACTTCCACAAACAAAGGTCGCTGTCCACGTCGACTTGCCCCCTCTTTTCCACCTTCGTCACTCATTCTCTCTCTCTCATAACTGCAACTTTATCTCTCTCTCTCTCTCTCTCTCTTCCTCCCTCTTTCCTACTTTAATTATCAAAATATTTATGATTAAACCTCATCCATTATTTTCAACTTCACACATCTTACGCTTCATTGTTCGATTTCTTGTTAACATTTTTGAAAATTTCATATAACTAAAGATTGTGGAGCATTTCATCCAAGAAAATGGCCTCGGAGAATGAGTGTCTTGCAATTACAGTCCATTCACTAATTTCATCCATATAAGGCCTGTGATTTTATTTTATTTTTGCAATTATAATTTTTTATAATAAATCTTTAAAAAAAAATACAATTGGATGCTAATTATTACTCCACCTAAGAGGGACATCAGATGCCCCCTCAAATCTTAAGGTACTAGAGCATTCACCTTACCTATTTTAAATATGTATTGTAACGTATTGGCTTGTAAAATTAATCTCAGTCATGAGCTAGAGATCTCTGCTGTCGAGTGTACTCCCAGAGAGCAATAGCACCACTTACATGAACGTTGAGAGATCTAACAACTCCAAATTGGGGAATTTCAATGCAAGCGTCCAAAATATGAATTATATCTACAGGTATACCTTCTTTCTCTCGGCCGAGAACTAGGACCTGAGTAAACAACCAAAATAAAATATAATATATTTAAATATGAAGTCAACAATGCAGGAAATTTGTGGCATAAAACAGGTACTACATATAAGCAAATATCAGAGACTGAGGAAGAAAAGCATCCAACCGGTTAGCACAACATAACATCAAGTTGTGTGATATTATATAAGTGACATTCTAGTTAAGAGTTTTTGAATAGGGAGTGAGAGATCAATCCTGACTAGACAATCATACATAGATGGTCAAGATTAAAAGTTGTTTACTGGTCACATGATTATTTTAAAATGTCACATGACTTGAGATTTTAATCTCAACCATTCATGATTAGATTTAATGGCTAAGATTTATCCCTCTCTTATAATAAAAACTCCTGTCATTTGATACATCTGCTTAAAAATATATTTTTACTGAGTTGATTGAATGAACCGATAGTCATGTGCCTTAACCAAACGATGTAATTGCCAACTAGCCAATTCAGATAACTGGTTTCACATGGGATTTGATTGCCTCAATTTAGCAACTAAAATTCATTATCCTCATTTCCTGTAAGATTATAAACAGAATTTTTTACATTTTATGAAAATGCACTATTCTATATAGAGCGTCAAAAAGATCTCAAGGAAGAAAATCCAGGGTGTGAGGAACCATAGTAAAATCAATCCAAACAAGTGTAAGGACGAAATTCAACTATTATTGCAGCAGCATCTCCTGCTGATGAGATGTCCCCAATCATACAACAAAATATATTAAAAGAACTGGAAGGTCAGAACTCTGTCAACTTACCATTTTTTTTGGAAACATATATCGATCAAGGGGTACACTGTTTGCAGTTTGTTCCAAACCCAAGATGGAAAACCCTTCTCGCTTTTTTTTCTGTAAGTATGCTTTTATGCTATCTACTGGGACTTCTATTATAGGAACCCACTTTTCAGCTGTCACACTGTAAACAAATTTAAGTGAGACTGATATTGCAGTGAAATAAATTCAATACTTTCTATAGTATATATCATGAATCGTAAACACATTCTTTTGTTTGTTTCCGGTAAAGTGATTAGACAGGAAGTTTCAACTCAAAAAGATGAAACTAGTTTTTCTATAATCAATAAACAAAGATGAGCTTAAAGCATTATTTTTCTGCATGACTCAATACAATGAGGTACTAATTATGTAATAAAAATTGTGAATTATTGAGTGGGGAATAACCATATCCAACAGGCATTGAGCATGGGTAGGTAGTGTGCATACGCCTTAAAGATGTGTTACACACACTGTCCTGAACAAATATAAGACATGAAGTAGACAACTTTAAAGAGGTAGAATATTGTGCATACAACTTCAATATTGACAATCTACAAATTACAAATCTAATTAATAGAACTTCTTTACTATGAAACACAGCCACTATCCCAGAATCATGCCACTTTAGAAGGATTCTTCAGGCACACGTGGATAGAGCTGAAGAAATGTTAATGGGCATATGAAAAAGCAAGAAAGTTTAATTAAGGATAAGTATTTGTAGTTGACTGTTGTCCCTTCAAAGTGAAAGGTGGTTTCACTTGCCAGCAAATTTAAATTCTTTATATGCCAATATGTTCATTATAGCAGTTTAAAAAAATCTGAAATATTAAGTACATTCATTTTAAATTTTGCTTGGTAGTAACTTATTATTTTAAAACCACATAAGAAGTATCTGGTCAATCATCAAACAGGGAAGTACCCCAAGGAGTTGAGCATTTAAAATTATTAGCAGGTCAACAATATCCTGTGACATTTAAGCAGAACCCGAGTAGCAAGTCCACTCAAAGTTTGTGACATCTATTAAGTGAAAAAAGAAAAGTTCTACTATCATCAAAACCTGATTAGTTGGAATTGTTTGTCACTTGTGACTTTTGTATTGGCAATGGTCAGCCCTGATGCTCTAAACACCTGCTTTACATAATGAGTAAAGAAAATAAAGGCTTTCTCCAGGAAATAGAAAACATAGAAATAATATTATAAAATTGAATATAGTTAAGATTGATAAAGGGAGAAGAATGAGTAACGTACCTCGCATGTACGAGCCAAACCAGCAAGATTGGGAATGCGGTCAAGCAATGATGCAACAAGGATAAAATCCTGTCGACTTGCCTTGTGTTGATCTAGAGATAATCTTCTTGACTGCAATAATTGGTCCAGAAGGAGATCATCCCTTTCTATCTCTGTCATGTTGATCTTGAAATTAAGTAATGGTAGATACAAAACTATGAAGCACGTATAAGTGGAACACAGGCATCACACACAACACAAGGCAATATTGAGCAAAAACAAAACAGTGCAAGATGGTCAGTTTCTTTTCATTCCTTTTATAGTTACTGAACAAATTTAAACATACCAGCCATTTTTCTGTAGGTTTCGTCATTGCCATAAAGGAAACCCAGTTCATTATTCCTCTTGTCATGTTTAGTAAAAGTAACCTTTTTCTGGAAATCTGAAGACATATCTTTAAGCATGGTTCCTTCATTGCCCCCAGATAAATTTTCCATGCAATTCTTATCCCCATTGAAATTTAGAGACTCATTCCTGATGGTCACCTCATCCTTTGCCATCGAACACCTTAGGTCTTCTCTAGCATCCTATAATGACAGTGCAGCGAAACTTACCAGATGAAACAGAAAATATAGCCTTTCTCTTTAAGATATGGACATATGACAAAGTACTTACATTTAAAAATCTAAGAACTTGCTCCATGAGAGATGTTGGAACACATTCAAAATCATCCTCCTTTAGACACCAAGAAAGAGCATAAATAAATTTATCATAAAAGAATAAAGATAAGCTCATGCATATTGACCGAATACATTGAAATAGATTATGATTTCATTGGAGAGAATAGTTTTATACATCACCACTACTTTGTAAGTTTAAATGAGTAACTGGCAAATTTTTCCACCAAGTCAATGAGAAGTCCTCAGATAAGTTACATATACACAACCTTGATTCATATGATCTATATGCTAATGTGCTAATGCTTGAAGGGGAGTGTAAGAAGTAATGTAAAAAGGGTAATAAATCATTATAGATACTATTTTCATTATAAATAGTATTCACACCTAGGTAATTCACACGCACAGATTTCACCATATGACTCATGATTGTCTCTTCTCTTAACATGGTATCAAAGCCTAACACAAGATAACCATAATCCATGAATACCACAGTTATCAATTCCAAACAGTGGCACATTGCAAGACAACAACTATAATAAAATTATAGGAATGAGATATATTATTATTATTATTATTATTATAAACATATTGTCACAACTAAACATTCGAAGTTAAGAATAAAGGTCCCTGAGATGATGGCAAGACTGTAGCATAGAGAAAAGAGCAGAGGAGGTTTAGGGAATACTTTCCCAAGTAAAGCAACGTCTTTGTTGCCATGTTTAGAAAAAATATCTTGGCAAACTTCAATATTTTACAGATGGAGGTGGCACAATCCAAAAAAGTTATAGTCATTCCTCAAAAAAAGTATGCAATGTATGTTGAGCCATGACATAAGCTACATTTCCACTCATTTGGCTCAAACAATTGCTTCAAGAACTTATGTTTGAGGAGGTTACAAAGGTGAGTAACAATCAAGCTGCATATAACCTCAAATCAAGAATTCCATGAGAAAACCAAACACATTGAAATGAATTACCATTTCATTAAAGAAATTATTTCATTTAGTCATCGTCACCAGCTTCATTCACTCAATGGCCAATTAAGTAGATGTTTTGAGTAATTAATTGGAAGGTCCTCAAATAAGTTACACGTGTAATGAGTTTAGTGTATATGATGATCTATATGCTCTAGTTTGAGTGTTAGTCTGTTAGATCGAATGTAAATATGCTAATTACATTTTCCGTGGTATTACATCACTACGATAATGAGGGTGACTGCAATCCTACTATTTATTACTTTCAATATAAATAATATTCTTTCTTGTGCAATTCACACAAGGATTTCATCATATGTCTTGCTTTTCTCCTAAAATATATTTCAAACGCAGATTGGAGGTTTAGGCGTGCAGATTTCATTTAACTCAACATATTTGCTTTGGGGATGAGCAGTTTAAGTAGTACAGCTCCACGGACTAAACAGAAATAAGACATTTTATATGCAAAATATAAGCGATGATACAATGTTTCCATCTCACCATAGTTAAGAAATTTAAAATGTCATAAAAACTATGTGGATTCAATGTCATTTTTACATTGATCCAGAACCATTTAATATATCATTGAAATAGGTCAAGATTAGCATCACACAATTCACATGATTTTGAAAGGAATGAAAATAAAAAAATGTTTTGTTGTCAACTTGTTAATGCTAAAATGTTTTAAGATTTGACACAAATAATCAAGATAATGTATAATCATAATTTATCGGTCAGATTATAAAAAAAAAAATTCTAAATATAAATTATTACTGTAAGTTGAATCATGCCCAATTGGAACAAATCATAACGTGTTCGATTGATCCAAAACTCAACTAATATATTAACAACCTCATTTTGCAATTGAGATTGCTATTCCTAAAAGGGTAGAATTAGAATGATTGTCCAAATACATGCTATTAACTAATATACAGACCCTCACCTCAATACGATTGATGAAAATTCCGGCAGGTGTGACAGAGCTACTTGGGTTATAAGCATCAAGATATCCTTCCATTGATGCTCGTAAGCTGAAAGGTAGACAACATAAATTAATGAGGTTAATTCATTAGAAAGTAGTACAAAACACTTCACAGCTACACATTCTTCTAATACAATGAGAAATCAAATACAAGATACAAAAACTGCATGGTTTAGGTAGGGAAATAGGAAAATAAAATATGAATACTAATGAATGAATATGTTATTGGACTGATTTTGCATTATAAAATGTAAGACACTAACACCTACTTATACTAGGAATAAGGTCAAGTACAAGTATAGCCCTACAAGTCCAAGTCCAACTCCAACTCTAATCATACAATAAAATTAGGAAACAAATTACATAAGGAAAATACTAAAACATAATGAAATTAAAAAACTCCCAAGATTGTATCACCAAATAAACGGTTAATAGATTCCACAACATATTCTACAAAGTGGGGGTTTATTATATAGACATAATGTAATGCAAAAATTGAACAATATCCTAATTACCATTGTTAGAATCTTTTAAAATCTTGTAAATATAGTAACTGTATATCTTGTAATTATTTATTCTTCTCTATAAATTGGAATAACTCCGCTGTGCCCTAAACACATGGATTCAATATTTTCTCTCTCAACATGGTATCTAGAGCCTAGAGAGGCAACCTTAATCTGTTTTTTTTCCCAATGAACCCACTGTTCAATGGTGCCTTTTTTTTTGGCGCCGCCACCACTGCCGCCGCCGTCCGACCTCCGATCACTACAGAAACCCCGCCGTCGTGATCGCCCTTGTCAAATTGGTCAAACTCCGCTGACCACGCCTTCATCGGAGCCCCCACGCGCTGCCTTCTCCTCAGGCGGTTTTCTCACGCGCTGCCTTCTCTCTCCGCACGTGATGGCATGTCCAGCGTCCTTTCCCGACACTGTCGACTAGGGTTTGCTCACCCCTCTCTCCTCTACCTGTATCCAGCCTTGGTTAGCTGTTTGGACATTTATTCCCCCTTGTTTTGCCCTTTTTCGCTGTTGTTTGGACATTTTCTCTCTCTTCTCGCTGACCAATGGCTGCCTCTAACACTCCAAAAGCCGATACCTAAACTTTTACCAACCATGTCACTGCATCTCTTTCTTCTGAGCAGTTGGACGGTAAGCACTACTCCTCCTGAGCTTCTCACAATGAACTTTGGCTTGTTGGACAAGGTTATGAGACACATCTCACCCAAACAATAGATGATGTCTCGGAGGCCGACCGTCTTCTATAGAAAAAGGTTGATACCCAGCTATGTTGTATCATCCGAGCCACCATTCACCCATCTCTTCGTGATGTCTTTCGCACTCACAAAACTTGCAAAGCTGTTTGAACACAAGCCCAACAACTTTTTACAAACAATTCTCAGCGACTCTACCAAGTTTGTGAAGACCTCAACTGTCCTTAGTGTCCATCAGATTAAGGATTTTATGTCGACCTATCTTGGCTCGGTATCAAGCCTTCTTTGTGAATTCAACGAATTGCTTCCTCCCGCTGCCACTTGACAATCGCAAGAAGTTTTTCATGTCTTTGGCTCTATACAGTCTGCGCCCAGAATATTCTCATGTTCGTGATCAGATCCTGGAGAGCCTCACAAAAGCTACTATGGACAGTACACCCAAATCCTCCTCTAAGCCTTTGATTCCCGTTCCTACTGACTCTTCGGCTTTGGTTTCCTGCAACACCAACCGACGTCCACAGCGCAAGGACAGCAAAGGACGTCCCTGGTGTGATCATTGCCACCACCCGGGACACACAATTGATAAGTGCTAGACTTTACATGGTCTACCTCCTCGCACTGCCCAGGTGGCCGAAAGTTCTGTGTCTCCTTCATCCACTTCTGCTCCGCCATTGGCTCCGGATCCACATCTATCACCTTCCTATGACGATTTCCTAAAATGGTATGACGATCGTCAGGCCTCCAGTTCCACTGCTGCTATTGCACACACTGGTAATTCCTTCGTTGATCTCTCTCACTCTTCAAGCCCTTGAGTCCTTGACTCTAGGCTCACCGATCACATCACTAGTAATAAATCTCTTTTTTCTTCTCTTTCTACTTCTGGTTATTTACCTTCTATCATCATGGCAAATGGGTCTCAAACTTAGTCTCAAGGTATTGGTATTGTTCATCCTCTTCCTTCTCTTTCCATTAACAATGTCCTTTATGTCCCCAAGGCTCCCTTTAATTTATTGTCCATTAGTCAACTTACGTAGGACTGGATTACGGGGAGGACGATTGGCTTTGGATGTGTCTCAAGGCCTCTATCAGCTCAACAAGTCCTCTCTTGTTGGTTCGGCAGCAAAGTCTACACTTCTGATTCATGCTCGATTAGGACATCCAAGTCTTGATAAGTTGAAGCAGCTATACCCTAGTCTTTCTAAGTCAGAGTCTTTGTCTTGTGAGTCATGTCAATTAGGCAAACATGTTCATAATTCTTTTTCTAGTCGCATTATGAGTCGGGTTTCATCCCCTTTTGTTTTAGTTCATTTAGATGTTTGGGGTCCAAGTCGTATTTCCTCTACATTAGGGTCTAGGTATTTTGTCACTTTTATAGACATTTTTCCCGTTGTACTTGGTTATACTTAATGAAAGAACGTTCTGAAATTTTCTCAATTGTTCAGTTTTTTTTTTTTTATGAAATAAAAAATCAATTTGGTATCCCTATTTGTACTTTACAAAGTGATAATGCACGTGAATATCTGTCTATTTCAGACCTTTATGGCATCACATGATGTGTTGCATCAAACATCTTGTCCTCATACCTTCCAACAGAATGGAGTTGCAGAATGCAAAAATAGGCATCTACTTGAGACCACTCGGACTCTTCTCCACTCTCATATTCCTCATCAGTTTTGGAGTGATGCGGTACTCACTGCATGTTATCTCATTAACCGCTTGCCTTCCTCTGTTTTACAAGGTAAAATCCTTCATCAAGTTCTATACCCCCACCACTCTCTTAATCCTTTACCCCCTCGGATCTTTGGTTCTACATATTTTGCTCATGCTCTTGGTCCTGGCATTGACAAGCTCTCTCCTCAGTCTCATAAGTGTGTTTTTTTTGGGTACCCACAGTCACAAAAAGGATACAAGTGTTATTCTCCTACTCTTAGGTATTTCATTTCTGCTGATGTTACTTTCTTCGAGTCTATTTCATTCTTTGAACCTCGTACATCTACACTCGAGTCTTCTCCGTCAATGACTGCCCCTAGTTCAATCCTTTTCTGTCCTCTAAAGGCGTCTCCTTCGCCTCCACACCCATCTCCTCCACCTTTGTAGGTATATCAGCGTCGTCCTCATCCTGTTTTGGAGCCACCGAGCACTGACAACACCATGGACTCACCTTTGGAGCCACCTCTTTTGCCTCATCTTCCGGTCCCGCCCTCTGAATCTGACATTCCCATTGCCATTCGAAAAGGTATACGTTCTACTCGTAATCCTTCTCCTCATTATATTTCTTTAAGTTATCATCGTCTTTCTCCTTCCTATTATTCTTGTCTTTCTTCCTTATCCTATGTTTCTATTCCTAAAAGTGCAGGTGATGCATTTTCCCATCCCGTGTGGAAACAAGCTATGTTAGACGAGATGTGTGCATTACAGAACAGTGGGACTTGAGACCTCATTCCTCTACCACCAGGGAAGTCAGTTGTTGGTTGTCTGTGAGTGTATAGGACAAGGTTGACCGGCTTAAGGCCCGTCTCGTCGCCAAAGGCTATACTCAAATCTTCGGGTTGGATTATGGCGACACCTTCTCTGCTGTGGCCAAATTGCCCTCTGTGCGATTATTCCTATCCATTGCTGCCATACATCATTGGCCTCTCTATCAGTTGGATATCAAGAATGCTTTCTTACATGGTGATTTGCTCGAGGAAGTCTACATGGAGCAACCGCCTTGCTTTGTTGCGGGAGTCTTCTGGTCTTATATGTCATTTGCGAAAATCTTTATATGGCCTCAAGCAGTCACCCAGAGCATGGTTCAGCAGATTCACTATTGTGATTCAACAGTTTGGCATGACTCGAAGTGAGACTGACCATTCTGTCTTTTATCGTCACTCTCCTACCGGTTGCATCTACTTGGTTGTTTATGTTGATGACATTGTCATCACAGGTAGTGACCATCAGGGCATCGTACAGGCGAAGCAACATCTCTTCAAACATTTTTAGACAAAAGATCTTGGCAAACTCAAATATTTTTTGAAAATAGTAGCACAGTCTAAAAATGGAATCACCATTTCCTAGAGAAAGTATGCAATAGATATTTTGAAAGAAACAGGAATGTTAACTTCTAAGCCAGTCGACACTCCCATGGATCCCAATGTCAAGCTCATGCTAAATCAAGGGGAGCCTCTTTTAGATCCTGAAAGGTACAGACGGTTAGTAGGGAAACTAAACTACCTCACTATTACCTGTCTAGATATCTCATTCACAGTGAGTGTAGTACGTCAATTCCTCAACTCTCCATGTAAGGAACATTGGGATGCAATGATTCGCATTGTTCGATACATCAAAGGAGCTCCAAGAAAAGGTCTTTTGTATGAAAACAAAGGACACACTCGAGTTGTGAGATATTCTGATGCAGATTGGGCAGGATCTCCCGTAGATAGAAGGTCCACCTCTGGATTCTGTATATTTGTCGGAGATAACCTTTTGGAAAAGTAAGAAGCAGAATGTTGTAGCCAGGTCGAGTGCGGAAGCGGAGTATCGAACTATGGCTATAGCGAGACAGGAGCTTATATGGCTCAAACAGTTGCTTCAAGAACTAAAGTTTGGAGAGGTCACACATATGTCACTTATATGTGATAATCAAGCCGCTATGCATATTGCCTCAAATTCAATATTCCATGAGAGGACAAAGCACATTGAAGTTGATTGTCACTTTGTCAGAGAAAAAGTCGTGTCTGGAGAAATATCTACTAGTTTTGTCAATTCCCATGACCAACTAGCAGACAACTTTACTAAGTCACTAAGGGGACCTCGGATTAACTACATATGTAACAAACTTGGTGCATATGACCTATATGCTTCAACTAGAGGGAGAGTGCTAGAATCTATTAGAATCTTGTAAATATAGTAACTGTATATCTTGCAATTATTTACTCTTCTCTATAAATTGGAATAACTCCGCTGTGCCCTAAATACACGAATTCAATATTTTCTCTCTCAACAACCATAATTACAAGATATGTTTAGCACATTTATATTATTTAATATATTTGAATTGTAGACAGGAGACTAATAACTTTTTAGCTAGTTATTCCCATTTGCATTCTTCTTGAAGGGCATACTAAACAATAACAAATACTCTTTACTGCAAATCTACATACAAGCACAATAAAATAGACTGGTTTACAATATAGATATGTAACAAGATAAGTAAAAAGTAGGAATCGTACCGTGCACAGTCAGAATTTCTTGCAAGGTATGTTTTCAAATCTACAAAGCACCTTTTCTCTAAAGGTAGTATCTCAGAAGATTCATAATTCAACAACGGAAACAGTTTATGCAGAATTTGATATGCTAATAACTGCAACAACAATCACACATATCATGACCCATTTCAGAGTGACATACATGCGAGTGTACTCATAATATAGATAGATAGATAGATAAAGAATGATCAACACCATAAATGATAACCTGGGTGAAACCACGTAAGCTGTGATGATGTGAAGTTAACAATGGAACTAGAGGTGGAAATAATTCATCCAAATGCCTAGATTGAACATCTTTAGATGAATTGAGAATGATATTAGCTGCTATGAATACATATGAAGATAGTGCCTGCATTTTAAGCCAGACAATTAGTAGTTATATAAAATAAAATGTGCAAACAGCTTACAATATTTGTTTATCCTTCTGATGTTAAAAAATATGGTAGTAGAAAAATTACCAAGTAATCAAACATATTAACCTAAAAAGGAAAATAATAAACAAAAAAGTATTTATGTTCAACTAATAAAAAAAACTTGTGATAGGCATGGGGATATATAATTTGAGCAATTCAATCTAATAAAGAATGTGTAACTTCCAGTGTGTGGTAGTATATAATTTAAGCAATTCAACCAAATAAAGAATGTCAAACATCTAGTGTGTGGTTTATATAATTTAAGCAGTTCAACCTATTAAAGAACAAGTAAATTAAATTCCAGTGTGTGATAACATAATTTGAGCAATTCAACTTGTATGAGCGCTAACAGTGTTGGAAATGGTAATAGTGATTAATATGTCATTGGAAATTATGAGTGAAAAGATCAGAGTCATAAAAAATAGTTTATTACTATTCTTGTTTATTCTTAATTAGTATCCAGAGCTTCATGAGAAAATAGAAAGTGAAAGAAATAGAGAGAAGTAACAGAGAGAAAGGAAAGAACTGAATGTTTTACTGAAATGACTCAACGTTGTTCATTGTAGAACTGAGTTACACTTCTATTTATGGAGTGTACAAGCTTCTCACATAAGCATAGACATAGTTCACAGTAACTGTAAGAGAATGTTAGCAGATCACAGTAACAGCAACCGTTAATGCGAACAGAATAGACTGTGTAAGTGTAACATGTCTGCTAAAGAGTGACTGTTCAGAACCTTCTCACAAGCAAAAAAAGATGTCTAATTCCCTGTGACCACTTCTGGCATGCAACACTAGGTTGTGACACAAAGAAACTGCACTTTGATGGTCACAACAGACGACAGGACTAGGAACAGTGATGTGAAGTTCGGTAAGAGAAGGAGATTGAATCCAGATCATTCATTTCTGCCGTAGTACTCCTATATTCTGTCTCTGCACCAGCACAAGCCACCTAGTTTTGTTTCTTGAACCTCCAATAAATAAGATTAGGCACAAAATATATAGATAAACCTGATCTAGATTATCTATCATCCAGATCAGCGGCCCAATCCACACTTGAGATAGATTATCAGTTCATTAGTGGGTCTAGGGAAGGCAAACGTCTGCAGCCTTACCCTGCAAGCAGAGGGGCTGTTTCCAATATTTGAACCCAAAAGCTTGAGATCACAAAGCAACAACCTTACTATTGCACAAAGGCACATCCTCAATGTGATCGCAATCATGCCATATGAAGTTTAATAGGAAACATGCTAAGTGATGTTACAGAGTTACACATCAATTGAGACATTAATGAAGTTTATGCATCAATTGAGACATTAAGGTCTGCTTTTACAAGCTAATTTTGTGTAGTTCGGCGAGAAGCAATTAACAACATAAAACATTAACCTAGAGGTCTCATGTCACGGAAAATAAAATTACCTGCTGTCTCATATCATAATCTCGCAATATAGGGACCAATTGTTCTTTAACCTGTGAATTAGACATGAAATGAGGAAGAGAAGATAATCTCAACTGAGACAGGTAATCTTTACATAATAGGTTGGACACTGAAAGGTGCATGCAATAGATTTACAAGAAACATGGTCTGCCAACAATTCTCTAATAACTTTGTGTGAAATTAATCAAAACACAGAAGAAAACTGAAAGTCTACTTGTTCTCATCCCCAAATAAAATGAACAACAAACAAATGCTGCAAGCCTGCAACTGCCTGCATTTAAATAAATCAGTCCCAGAAAATCAAATCTCAAGTAAACAGCAAGCATATAGCTTTCTTGGCTATGCTGCAAAACAAATCGTTATTTTTTAGTTTTGAAAATCATTTTAAGCTTGAGGTTTTTTATTAAAAAGTGCTTTTATGAACATGCACTAGCGGAAAATCTGCTGTTAATTAGAATCAAGAAATTGGTTCTTCTCCTCAAAAGCAAAAGCAGAAAATTTCAACCTTATCTGGAGCTTGAAAGAAAAAAAAAAAAAATATGCATTGCTATCTTATTCTTAAGCCTCTTTATGGTCCTTAACACCTACTTTTAGAAGGGTTTCTCTACTGGACATGCAGTGAGACTGGTGATCTTTGTTTATAGATGATGTGCTTTCTTCTTTGTTTTGGTTTTAGTGTTTTTTCAGGTTCATATAGGAGCATATTTTATCCTCAGCTCTTGCACTCTTTTTTCTATTCCCTAATCAAAAAATGAAAAAATAAAATAAAATCTAGTAGCAAATAAATTGGAGCATAAATATTAAAAGGAAAATGACAGGATGAAGAAACATGGAAGAAGAAAGTCTTACAAGTGATGGAAACTTCAGGTAAATGTTGATTGCAAATGTCTCCAAGTATTGCCGTACAGCAGGTAGGTTATTTCTCTGTAAGAATACAAAACATGTAGTTATTTCCATTTAGGGTCAAAGAAGAATAATAGATGTAGACAACAGTAAAAATTAAAAAATGGTTGTACCATACTAAAATTGGTAATTACATATTATATAGCAATGGGCACGTCTAAAGCAATTTTCCTTTTTTCATCAGAAGTGATTTCCATTTAAATAAAATGCAATCTAAATATAATCAAACCTAAATATAATTAAACAGACTAACACAGAATTTAAGCATGCATCAGAAATAAACAACTACCAAGCCTTATTCTACTAGGTGAGGTTGGCTAATAGATCACATGATGCCATTGAACTCAGTTAATAACCAAATTTTCAAAATCTGATTAATTAAAAAGTCTCTTTTAATTTAATAACTTCATCTAAATTCTTTCACGTCTCCCTCAACCCATTTTTACCAAAATAAAAATTATGCAATCCACACTCCAAAGAGAACCCGTATAGATAAACGAGAGAAGCAAAACATGGTGATTGCCTTGAAATTCAATGTAATAAAATAAAAAGAAAAAATTCATCTAATGAAACAAATAAATGAAATTTAAATAAAGAAGGACATGCATATGCTTACATGAGATCACAAATCTATGCTTCCAGCACAACTAAAGACAACATATTAAAAAATTTAATAGGAAAAAATGCATTAATAAATGATAACATGCAAAATTTACTTACATTAAGCGATATATACAAGTAATCTACAACTTTCCCAACTATATCTTCCACAACAAATGGTGACAATACACATATTATTTGCCACACACGTATTTTGCGTCTATGAATCTGGAAAATCAATGTAACAAATTGAACAGAAGGAGTTACAGCAAAGATTGATAAGAGCAAAAATTGCAGAAGCAATACAAAATTTCTAGTATCATGCCATTTTTAAAAGCAGGAAACCTTTAGAGACATTTGCAGTGACACAAGGCTGATCAGAATAATTCCAGAAACAAGAGGCCATGGTAGCTGGCAATATAGTTGTTGAGAGATATTCTCATGGCAATAAGAGTTTGAAGTCCAAATTAACAAGCAAGATGAAAATCTTCAGAAAGGAAAAAAATAACTCGAGAAATTATGCTATAAATGATAACACTGCACTGATGCCAGGTAACTTATTCAATGGCAGACATTTCATTTTTAGATTATAATTAATAATGAATCAAAGCTATTTTTCTAGTTCTATAAGCATAGTATATTAATCTATTCCATGCAACATTCTAGATGAATGGAGGAGACTAATGGATTTAGGGCACCAAATTTAAGAAGCACTTTGTGTCATAAGCCAAATATTTCAACCTACCCAGGTAAAGCAGGATCAGCTTGTTTAATATACTGCTTTATGTGCTTTATTTCAGCTTGTTTTGTTCTTATTTTAAAGAGTTTTCTTTGTAACCAGTAATAAGTAGTCACATGTCTAGCATGCAACATTTTAATCCTTAAGGTTATTAGAGCCTTGAAAGATTGGGCTAAATTTATTAATAAGATCAGAACACTAGTATACATGATCCTAGGAATTTGTATTCAGTATCTTTTCAACTGTAATATTATAATGTTGGATGAGGTTTCTAAACCTAGAAACCCTCTTCCTATCATTCCCTTTCTAACCCCCCCCTACATCAATTCACAAATTCTATTTTGAGCTGCTCCCTATCATTTTCTACTGCATTTTTGTTAAGAAACTTAGACCTAACTCACTCTCAAGTTTACATAAGCCCTAATAAGGAGTATTCTAACTCTATTAATAATCAATATGGAACATCTTAACAAACCCTCCTCACGCTTAGGAATGGACATTTGGTGCATGAAGTTTGCAGGACTGAATATCTGCATAGGTGGTCCAACAAGACTAGACATCTGCGGACAGCCCAACATTCAATTTAGATAGACTCTGATACCATGGTAAGACAAATTTACTCTCAAAAGCTATCTCAATTATGTATCAGGTGGGCCCCTTTCAAATTTTATGGGACCATACATAATTTTTGTGTATGTGATTGTCAAGTGAAAAGATTACATGAAAGGATTGACTACCTGCATAGTTATGCATCAGGATCCCTTGACACTTTGATGAAACAGTCAAGTATTCTTGTCATACAAGATTTTATTTTACCTTTTTGTATTTTTTTCCATGAAATGGCACCCTACGACAACTTTCATGTCCAAATTCATTTCAAAAAGAATAAGGCAGGCTACTCTACCATTTACATTTCATCAAGCTGAATGCATGACCAAAGGATACTTACAGAACTGTACTTTTTGTATAACTCCTTTGCAAGATCTTTATCATTCACCTGTATCAACAGACATTGTGTTTAACAAAAGCATTCCAGGACAACCTTCTGAACTTTGCCATAAATTAAAGCTGTGCACCAAAAAAGGCATGGGCAGAACCAGACAGGGCGTCACCAAAGCAAATTATTCCAAAGCTACACTCCAAAATTTGCATATTAGTAATCAGTCAACATTACAATACACAATCATTTGTTAACAAAAACTAGCTTACAATTGTTATGTCTCCATTGTTGACTTATAACTTACTAAGTTCTTAAGTATTATCCAAAACCAGCGGCCAATTAGAGACTGAAATTATCTTAAAACCTATTCATAACTTCAAATAACCACAAAGGATTCTTCCAAAACATGAAGCCAGATATCAACAGGACTAGCACTGCAAACACGTCTTGTACGATAATAGCAAGAATAGAACATCGCAGAAGCTCAAATTATAATATGGAATGCATATTTCTGTCTTAAAAATACTCTAGTAGCAAAAAGTACTTCAAAATTTGGCATGGAATTGATAGTAATCCACTACCACGGAGTCAAGAAGCTCTAGTAGAAATGATCTGCCAGATTCTTGGGCCGCAATGCAGATTTCATCTTCGTTTGGTGTTCCCAACATCCGAGCCAAGTCTGCCAACTTGTAGAACAGAACAGCAATTGATACACGTGCATACAACTCTGTATTAATAAATGCCTGATAAGAGAAGTGATCAATTATTACAATCAAAATCTTCAACATGTTTTATTCTAAAAGAAATTACCATACATTTGCAGTTAACTGCAATCAGCATACCACATTGTTATGATAAAATGTATTAATTTTTCTAGAAAATTGAGTAGAAAAAACAGATAAATAAATTAGCCAAATTTTTTAAATGTTGAGTAGCTCACTTCAGTCAGCTCAGGATCAGGACTCCTGGCCAGTAAAGAGACTTCCAGCTTAGCATCATTGTTGTCAGCTAGTTCAGCTTCAAAATCCTCATCAAATGCAACTAAAAGAGATAATCTCAAATTCATATGATAATTAAGTAGAAAAACAACAGCCAGCCAAGTAAATTACATGCTTATACAGCAAATACATATTTGATACCTGATCCATAAAGAGAGAGCAGTTTGAGCTCCTTCAGGTAAAACTTTATAATCCTAGGATTTAAGAGCCATAACCCCGTTAAGTGCAATGCTGCAAGACGAATTGTACGAGGACTCTTTGTGCCCTCCTCTAGAAGATTTTCAATAAACTGAATGCCAGACATTAGGGGAAATTAGTCACTACTTGCACGAAATTAGTAGAGAAAACACAGGAATAGGGAACTTGTACAAGAGAACACATACCCATTTCAGGGGTCCAGGTGCATTGTCCTTTTGATGCATGCTCTCATCATTAAATACAAAAGGATGTAAAACAGATGACAAAAGAACAGCAATTGAAGCAACTCTCCGCTTATTACAGCTGATATGCAATATCCAGGAGGAATGGATCAAATTCCACATCATCTGATCAATGATTGCAATTCAGATCAGTGAACAATGCTGGTGAGGTGAGGAATGGATATGTGCGCAATAAATTACAAGAAAGTTTTACCATTCAAATTATAAACCATTGCAAATTAGATTTAAGCAACTTCACATATTCAACAAAAAGATAAACAAATAAAACCAAGTTAGAGGCAATGTGACAGGAGATACAGAACAGAAGTCATCTAACTCACAAAAATGCTTTAACCAGCCATAACTATGATCAAACTCAGCACTTATCAATATCAAAGTCATGCAGACTATAATGTAAGAGGCAATATTTCTGGGCAAAGGATGTGTTGGTATTTAGGATTCAAATGATCAGGATGGCAATCATTCATTGCCTTAAAGCCCCAAGATGCTATGTTGTTTCACTTAGCAATGTTAATATTTTACTAAGAAATCATATTCAAATAAACACAGACATTGGGCTTCTCAGACAAAGAGGGAATATGTTGCAACAGTCTCATTTATATATCAAACATGCCCAGGCACCAAATGCCTCCATAATTTTGGATCCTAATCAATGATAAAGCACTGTCTCTAAGTCCCTTAGCCAATCAAGCCTGAACTCAGAGCTAATTTATGCTACTCCAATAAAAACAAATAGCACATATGCTCTAAATTGGTTTTGACAAATGTAGGGAAATTTGTACTCCTGACAGAAATAGAGTTTTCAGGCTAGCTTATCAGAGTCTTCAGAGTTTTCAGCACAACTAGCAATACTTTATATCGGAGCTGGACCTTATATCGGGGCTGATGCTAACTGCCTATCTTAAAATCAGACCTCTTAGTTTACCTCATGGCAACATGCTTGCCTGCCTCACCACTAATTCATTTAATTGAAGGAATTATAGTCAACTAAACACAAACAAAATAACCAGCAATGAAGAAAACCTGTGCATCTATTATGTGACAATGGGAAACAACTGCACTTGATGCCACTCTCGCAACTAGCTCAAATAACATTCTGAGTGATCTCAGCATGGGTAAAACAGAACTTTCTCCAGCATTTTCAAGGCTACAAAGAACAAGGCTTTGAGTAAGCTAAGGTCCACAAATAAGACAAGACACCGAAAGAACAAAGAACATATAGCCAACAGATGTAAAGAGCTCCCATGGACACAATGTGAAGATATTCACCATGGTTGGAGTCTAATTCATAAATAAGCCAAACTGCAACAACACAAATCCCATAAAATTCATAACACACGCACACATAGATGCACAATTGCTTATAGTTTATCATGTTACTTACCTCTCGACAAGATCATCAAAAATGCATTTTAGAGTGCCATCTGAGAAGAATGAGTGGTTTTCCTCCGAATGAAACCCAATTTTGAGAGCAAAAGGAATTGACAGCAAAGATTCTAGGCACAACCACTGAATCATTAATAAATCAGTTAAAATCTTGCTATTTATTACTTAACATCTTATAATTAGTGTAGACTATCCATTATATTAGCTGCTAAAGCATGCCATTGAATGGAACAGATTAGTTGGAAGGATAATATGCCAGGACAGAGGGATAATGACTGATCAGAACAATTAAATTAGAAAAACAAATGTAGGAAATGGATATGCAAAGTTCAGAGTCTGTTTGTTACAATACAATCCAAAAATCAGATAAAATGCAATAAAGATATGTGCCTCATGACAAAGAGAAGATTAAAACCTTTATATCCAACAAAACAGCTCTTCGAGCTCTAGCCAAAACTCCTGCCCCTAGGAGATCATTGATATTTTTAATGAAAGACACATACATATAATCTAACTGAGGCCTGGCTTCTATCTCTGAAAACAATTGCTCATTTTCCTCAATGGGATAAAAAGAATGAGGGACATATGTTGAAGCTAGAACTCTGAGAACAGAAACTAATGATTCATATGCTGCAAGAGAAATTTCTGCTCCTGGCTGCATTAGACACACATAGATGTCATCACGCACATCAACTGTAGCATAAACACAATTTTTATAGCAGATGATTCATCTAATATGTGAGCTACCTCAGAACATGAAAGCGGAGATCTGGTAGTCCTCCAGAAGAATTGCCACATAAAAGTAAAAGCAGAGTTAAGTGGAGCATCACTTTTTATTTGTTTACACCACAAGAAGATTAATGATATGGCCTTTACAGACATTACCTGCTTGGTTAAACAGCAAAATCAGAATAAGATGCAGAAAAAAGTGTGGCATAATCAAAGCAATTTATAAAAATGAAAGAACAGGAGTGAACAATTATTGATAACAAACTAGTAAAAAAAAAAATTATGCATTGAGAAAAGAATAAATCAGTACTACAAAAAGAAATAGAAACAGAACAGGGTCAAACTGTGAGTCTTGAACTCTTGAAAATGATATGACAGTACAAGGATACTGTCAAGGACGAAATCAAAAATATGAACTGTATTATTAACAAAGAAGAAAAATATTGCAGAATCGATTCTGCAACACCCAGAGCAAAGCTCCTGCAAAGGTTTGCACCCTTGCCCACTACTAACAAACAAACAAGCATAACTGATTCGTTCTCTCTCTTCCCCCACACTACATGAAAACATTACACGTCCATCTGCTCTTCATAACTAATTACTCTCTAATTCCCATTCTGCCCCTTCTTGTTTCTCCTGATATGTTTTCCAAATCCAAGGCCCATGACTGATTTGTACTAGCCTTGTCCACTTAAGTTCATGGGACCTAACAGATACAACAGTACTGCATACTTTTCAGCATCAACAATGGTATTCTACAAAGGAAAAACAAAATTACAATAATCACAACTTCTGCAAGTTCAAATGACAACTTCACAATGGAACTTAGACCCAAAATTTTCCCTCAATTACAGATAAGCCCATAGTTATTAATCTCATATAGCAGCTGATTTCTAAAACACTATTTAAAAATTTATAATATGCATATATAATATGTTATGTACACAGAATATTAGTATAAATGCTCACAAAATTCTCAAAATTAATCAGATAATCATCATTTCAAATAAAAGTACAAAAAACTACAACATGAGTGATCAATGAACAAAGCTTGAACAGCAAGAGTGATCGGTGAACAAAGCTTGAATAACAAAGCAAAGGATGAACAACAAAATAGAGTTTGAAGAGTGATCAATGAAAAGAAAAATAGAGGAAATGCCAAAAAAGTTGATTTTTCAAGTGAACAAAAAAAACAAATGAGACGTCAAAGAATCTGATTCCTCCAGCAAAATGGAGCAAGTGAGCCTCCGTATAAGCTGATTTTTCCAGCAAAATGGAATGGGTGAGCCAATGAAAAGGGGAGAAACTGCTTTGTTAAGGCTCAGACTTTAATGCAGAAAGGAAGAGTGTGAAGAAGATGAAATTAACATATATGTTTTATAAAGAATAAATGACCTTTCTACCCTTAAAAATAATCAAAATGGTACATTTTACAAAAAAAGAAATAGAATAGGGTTTTCTCCTTTCCCCCAAATTGCATGATCGCAACATGAACTTCTCCCTGTTCTTGCAGCAATGTGGCAGCCAACGACCGCACCGCGCCGGCGCAATAGCACACTATTATCAACTATAGATAGACCAATTCCTTAGCTTGCACCCAATAGCTTAGACTTTGATGAAAAGGTTCTTAACATAGTATTAAAACATTGTTGACACAAGTTGTCATGAATTTGAATCTTACCACCCAAATTCCTCAAGTTAAATTCTATAAAAGGTGGTGCTGGCTATGTGTTTTGTCCACACTCCAAGCCCAAAGGATATTCACAAAGGATAGCAACGCAAAGCAACCAACCCCAAAAATGCTATCGCAAGATAACGGGATGAGCGTCATTTTGAAGACAATCAAAGCAAAGAAGGAAAATAGATCAAAGAGTTGTTAGTCACCAGAAAAAGCCCTACCGCAGATGTTCTTGCTAGAAAACATCTGACTATCATTAGAAAACATCTACATCTCATCAAAAATAGTTTGGGCTTTACCAGAGTGAAGAAGAGAACTGAAAAATGTCTCTAGTCACGTCAAAAATAAGTTGGGTTTTGCAGGAGATGAAAAAGACTGGGACTTTGTCGGAGATGGTGTGGCAAAGACAGAAGAGAAGCACAGACCATCCCGATGTAAAAGAGGAGCAAAATTCCAATGTTGCCCCCCTAAAAAATTATTCAACTATAAGAAAGGGAGGGCAAACTTGCCCTTTGCCCCTATTTGATATAGTGTCTGTAATTTTCACCTTTCACAGTTGAGTTGAATCGTAGCACGACAGCCACTATAAAGAATTGCAACACAACAGCCCTAGAATCATGGCAAGGAGCTGCTTCACTCTGCTCCTCCACGATCGTGCCCGCTATTCCCACTATTAACTACTATGGTTGGTTCATTAACGAATTACAAGCTCTATCAATGAAAAGTACTTAAGTGCCCAAATTATTTGAGGATTTCATAAACTGATGGCATAAATCAAAATGTTGAAGCTAGCAGGAAAGAAAATTAAAAGCTAGCTGTCATGCCTACACTTGGGTTTGATCTAAATTTTACAGAACTAGGGTACCAAGTCAGTGAATAAGTTTCTAGTATGCATTTCTGAAAGAAATGTCAAATAACAAACCATGATAAAAGTGCATGAAGTACTTACTGCCTTCAATACAGCAGTGGTAGCAGAAATTGACAGCCTTCGTTGACTAGGGCCTCCAAGTTTTCCTTTTATTGCACCAGGCAGTGCAGTGTCCTCTGTAGCAACACCGGACCAGAAAACAGAACAAGACTGGCTGGCAAACTGAACCAGTTCATCCTGCAATCCAATAAACATATAAGGATAAAAAAAAAGGTAAATGTATTACAAGATCATAACAGAGAAGTATAAAAAGATGATACCATTAAATACAGAAATTTATGAACAAGCTTCTCAGAGATGTCATCAATGAAACCCAGATAATGAACTACACCAGGGAAAGCATTTTCCATATTTCTACTGGCTTTGTTACCATATTCAACTGCTTTTTCCTTTGCTCTGCGAAGCTCCAGAACCAAACTCAAAGCAAGAGTCAAGAATTTGACTACTTCGTATCTTGTATCATGGTTTTGTTTCAAAATATTAGTGCCACTGTTTTGAATAAACTGCAATAATGGATATCCACCGTTATTGTTAGACTAAAAAACAGCAAACTGATACAGGGATAATCCTGCTGTGAGAAGTTAGAAGTATCAGCTGAAATATAAATGATCCTATTACAATTTTATGATAAAAATAAATATACTATTTTATGATAAAAATAAATATAGAACCTAGCCATTAATGATCATTCTTTTTTTATTGAAATAATTAATTTTCAATATACAGAGGGACTTAATCAGCAGTTATAAAGATTTCAAAGGATGAAGGTAAAAGCAAACCATTAAAATAGGTTCCAGACGATGTTCCTCCTTGATGGCAAGAAAAAGCACTCTTGCCCATCTATTCACTTCAAACTCCCATGCACTCAAGTCTTCATCATCATAATTAAGAGAAACATCAACGGAAAAATGATTAGTAACAAAGCTCTGTGGTAAATCATAAAGATTCTTCCACAACTTTATCTCGTTACTACAGCAATTGGAACACCTATCCTTGTCAGCACAACCTGAAAGCCATCTTTGCACAGTCACCCTTAACTGACCTGGGGTAAGAGGAAGAGTGCAGTCAAAAATTACCAACTGAAAATCACATATTGGATTTTTATTGTCTAATTCATTGACAAAAATATGGTTTAGAAGATACACAAGCGTGAAGAATTCTTGTTCAATAGCAGTCAAATGTGATGAAATATTAATAAACAGCCGTTTTTTTAGTGGATATCCTCATATAACAATCTTAACAAATACTGCAACAAACAATGCTCCCAAGTCCAAAATCACAATTTGTGATACTCATATCAGGACAGAACAATATCAGAAAGGATTTTATTTACTAGATATCCAACAAGAAATAAAGTTGGCTCAATTTTGGTGAGACAAATACTCTGCATTCCACATTTGCATCCTCTTTAATTTCATCAAACCATGTCTAATTCTCACATTAAATTATAAAACAGTGAAACCTATTATATATGAACTCATTAGTATGCACGTAGACAGACGGCTGAATCATGAGAAGACATTCATTTAATCAGCCCCAGCAAACCATAACATGGGTCATTTTAGTTGAGTGTTGTAATAGTGCATTTATTCAACATCTTTTAGGACACAATGTACACAACTGCATTTTCATTGGGTTAATGCTTGATCTTGTGTGATATGCTGTCCATAAACCTTCAAGAAGAATGAGCTAGCAAGAATGGCATTTGTGTCAAATTTTCAGAAGATGAGAAGTAGGAGAAATTTTCCTTTCCTAAAAAAAATGAATGGAATTATCAAAGATATCCCACCTGGTAACTCAGGACAGAAAATTGATAGCATAGTTATCAGAATCATATGTATCATTCAATTCATATTGTTGAATTTAGGCGTTAAGCCTAACTCAACGTCAAAAGCTAGTTCATACGGTAACGATTGTTTTAGCCTTTATAAGCTTTTTATTTACCTCACGCTCAACATTGGACATCTAAAGTGTGAAAATTGTAAGACTATTTTGTTTTAAATATAACATTGGATAATAAATTACATTGGGCCAAGTAAGTTGTACTGGGAAATTCAATGGATCGGGTTAATTCTACTTGAAAAATTGTAGGGGCATATTTTTCTTCTTTCAGTCAAGGGTGACCCAATATCAAATCTATGACAAGTTTTGATACCATATTGAATTTAGACTTCATGTCTAACTTAACCCTAAAAGCTAGCTTATAGGGTAAGGATTGTTTAACCTTTATAAGCTTATTTAGTCATATCTATAGTCAATTATTTAGTCATATCTATAGTCAATGCTGACTTCAAATGCATATCACAGTTCAATATAGTTCCTTACTTCCTACAGCAATTGATAAAGATGTCAGGTGAGTTGAAATCAGCCACACATTGCACCTGGAACCACTTGAATAGCATTCGAATCATAATTGAGTAGAATCATATGATCACACACTTCTAGATAGGGCGCAGAAATGAATTGGGATACATGCAACCTGATTCTGGAAAACATATTTGTACGGTTTTTTTTTTTTTTTTTTTTTTTTTTTTTTGCAATTTTTTACAATATTGGAGTGGAAGTGGAGAAAGCTTCCCCTGCCATGATTAAAAGTCAGAATTTGAAAGATCAAATCCTTTAAGTCAGTTCACATTCTATGCCTTTTCATGTTTGGATGTGTTCCCCATATCCATAGCATTTTGGTGCTGTGTCTCCTCCCAGTGCAGCAGAGTGTGGTTATGCTTATATTTCAGTTTATTGGTTTTAGTTATACAATGAGCTATTTGATTTTAGAATGCTAATATCCATGTCTTAAACATTGTGTTTAGTTGAAATTATATTTAATGCTATTTTAATTAATGATAAAATATCTTATGATTGATGTTAAGATTCAATTCACACTACAGAAAATGGGTCTTTTGATTGATGATTCAAATTTTGATTTGATAAACACAATGGATAGCATTTGATATGTCTCTCATCCAGCTTCTTTGGATCAGTAGATCAGAAGATGATGATGATTCTGGGGGGTTTATCGGTGTTCAGCTTGCAAACAACCAAACGGGAAAGAACTATTTGACATTTATTTTCCACTTCTGAAAATAATATGGAGACATAAGTTTGTGAATATATACTGTAGAAAGTACTTGATTTGTATATTTCACTTACCCCCATAATCTGTAAATTCCCGCGGTAATGCTGAAATGAAAAGCAAAAGAATTTCAAGCGGAATATCAAATGGACACACTACATAAAGAGCAGCCTCCAGAATTTTGCCACAAACTGTAAACATAATTGAGACATTAGTTAACTTACACTGTGCCTTCTAAATTTATGAATTATTAAAAATCAAATCATCCAAGCAAAATAAAATAAAACCTTGAAGACGGTAACTGGGATTGAAATGTTGTTTGCTGCTCTCAACAAGATATCTAAAGATATCCAGTAATTCTTTTTTATCAGTTGGATTTCCCATTCCAGAAGTGAATTCCAGTGGAAAATTTCCTTTAAATGATTCTGTCCTGGCATGATTAAGTATTCCAATGCCAGAAGCAGCGGAAGTAATGCATTCAGCAAGGCCCATAAGTCCAGCCCGACCAAAAGGTATATGTTTAGCAGTAGATGCTAAATTGCACAAAAATGCAATGCATTTCCTGTAATTAACTTTTAGACAGTAAGAAAAGTAAAGCCAAAGCACCGCATTACATATTTAAATTAACAAAGATATAAAGGATAAGCATAAAAAGCATTATGGATAGCATTACCACTAAAACTAAACTATAGACAGACATGCAACCATGCATGCATGTCATCATTTTTCTACAAAGAAGAATTTGTCAAGACTCAGGATAGGGAGAAAAGAAAGAACAGGAGAATCAAGGTCGTTCTAATATATATGTATTTTTTTTAAAATGACAAAACAGAGAGGGGGAACCTCATTTTAAATTTCACAAGTATTAGGATTCCTGCAGCCATACTCCATTTCTAAATGAAGCTTCCTGTTGATGCTTTCAAAGAAACCTATTCTCTCATTGATACTAAAAAGTAAAATTGCTACATGCTTGTTTGGCATTTAGAATTAAGAATGGAGTTGGAGTTGGAATCAGCATTACACCTATTACAGCTAATTCTTATATTAGGAAACTCTTATAGGATTTTTTAGGATTAGAATCATAACTCCTCCATCTTGATGTTGATAAAAAGCGCGTCTTAATTTGTCTATAGTTTTAATTGTTCCTATTTGTTCTATAATTATTGTCCTACCTCACCTATTGAGATAAGGCTCGATTGTTGTTGTTCTATAATTATTGTAATCACATTCCTACTTGTTTAAGGGCTCATTTGTTTAACAATCAACCCTTTTTTTCTTGCCATAGTTTTTCAGTAATCTTAAAAGAATTCCAAATCACCCTATTTTTTTAATTATTACTGAGCATACCTTGGGGCTAGAAAACTAACATAATAGCGTAGAAACTGGGCTGCACCTTCAATCACCCTTGACATATAAATTCCTTTTACACCTGATATGTAAAGTCAGTCAGGGCAGTATTAAGTGGAATATAATATTTCGATAAGATAATGGAGATTGGAGACTAAACATTATCATGGCAACAAATGAAATATTAGATTCGGAGAAGGTAATAATTAAAGTTAAATTAAACCATTGCATACGTAGTTGAAAAAGATAAATCTTATCGTGGATTCAAATATGAATAAAAAGAAACCATTTGAAAAGGGACCAAAGGAGTGAAGCACTAACCAAACTCTTTGTGATGGATTGGGTCATTCAGCCCTTGCATAAATGGACCAAGAACAAAAGTTTCAGGCACTGACTTTATGTAGTTCCCATAATTCTCCCAGTTGATGTCAAGAAAAGACTGCATAATCAGACACCTTACTGCATTTATTTGGGAAACACCATAAAAGAAAAAATGATGAGCAAGGATTGAAGGACTAATTTAATACATGACAAAGTATAGAATTTTTAGCTAACAGAATTTATATACTGACTTAAGTTTAACAAAAATATTAGTTGATTTAACACTTGCACATAATGATGACCATACTAACCTTGAGGATTGTCATGATGAAGGCCTCGTTCCCATAGAATAGATAACCAATCAAAAGTCTCACCATATATTTCAAATTGATTTTGATGAACTTTACTGATACTGCTTCCAACATTGAGATATGATCCAGAGAACTGAAGCAACAAAAAGACCTGCACAAAACAATTTAGCACATCAAAGGCATTGGTTGTGGAAAGCACAAAAGTCATAAACCTTAATAAAGTACCAAGTCCTAGAGATATATCTTTTTTACTAATGAAATATACATTAAGAGTATTTGACAGAGGTTCAAAACTATGCACACAGAAAGTATACATTCAAAAACAAACCAAATAAAAATAAAATAAAAACATGCACTAGGATTATGTGATCCAGACACTTCAAAAAATAATGCCCTATAAACAACAATGTCTTCACAACTTTATATTCCAAAATATACCAAAATCTCTGCAACTTAAAAGAGTTTCTGGACCACGCGAACCATATAAACATGTATATCAATATCAAAAAACGGAACCTAGCCTTTGCATTATTGCCTCATTTTTTATATAATATAAAAAGAAATTTTATTTTCAAATGAGGCAAAAGCAGGAAGACAACATATCTAGGAAGGATGTATTACAGCTTGCTACTTCTTTGTGCTTATCACTCATTTCCTACTGTCCAACTTATTTCTAAATACAAAAGTGTAACCCCTCAGTCCTCATAAATCCAAAACCACACATTTAAAGTGTTGATGCTAGTTAGAATATATAGAAAGCATCACATAATATCATTATTTGATCTTAAAATATTATCTAGTATCTTGAATGATCTCTTAGAAATGGTTTCCATATTTCATTATATTTAATGATTTCTTTCTTCATTCAATTAGGACAATAAATCTTGTACTGGTATAAACAGAGGTTAGTAGATTATATTTTTAAGTTTAGGGTTTAGGGTTTATCATTACACACCAATGACACCATATATCAATAGTATATTCTTTTATACAGATTTTGTCTTCTCTAACAAGCATAAGCTAAAATATGATAAAAAATGTGAACACGTGATTATACACCTGATGATTCCAAGCTGCTTCAACTAAATGAGTACCATATTCTTCAAGCATCTCATATAAAAGCACAAATGCATCCCAATATTGCTGGCTGTTAAAAATCAGGTCATCTATCATGGAAAGCTTCCCAACACCAAGTGATTTTGCTTCCTTGTAAGCCCATTTTTCCCTCTTTGTCACACCATGAGATACTGAACGTTTTCCATCAGTATTCCTTTTGGAAATGCTAGAGATGGAATTGGTTCCTCCTTGTAAATTCAGAGCCATCTTCAATATATGTAAACTCTGCTTCCTCACTAAACTCTCCCTGTCAACCTGACCAGATTCAGTTTGGTCCTTAAGTAAGCAAAGATATAACAAAATAAACAAACTGACAGAAAATCATTAAACAGAGCTCGAGTACCAGGCCCCTCTTTATCTCATCCCAGAACTCTTTTTCTGCTCTTATGTCAAATTTTTGAGTTTTAATGATGGTATCACTATCAGCATCTTCACATTCTTCTGTTGACCAGGAAAAAGAGAAATACAATGATAGTATATTATATGCCTCCCTTCTCTCTAAAGGTCCATTTGAAAACAGTGTTCTGCAGCAGTTCCACAATTTGATGAAGAAATACTCCCTGAAAACAAATAACATAAAAAATACAATCATAAACAGATAATATAATGTATATAAATCAGATGCACATTAATTAATACAACTAATTCTACCGGGAAAAGCCATGTTTCTGCCCACGGATTGAGATTTCAAATGAGCAATTGGCAGGTAATGCTTTGAGAATGACAGGAAGAAGAAGGCTAACTGCACAAGACCTGTGCTCTGGACTATGTAAAACCATCCGTTCAATCAAATTACATAATTCTCGAATCAAAACCTTAACAAATTTATCCGCAATGCACCCTTTTCTTTCTGCTAATTTAGAGACTGTATATGTTTGCAGAAACTGAAGGGCAGCATCCAGAATTACCACCAAAACATCACATGACGTTGACAATTTGAAACCATTTGACGAAGACAGCAAGAGTTCCTTGTCCATTAATGGAACAATTATGGTGTCATATGAACCGTGGCAAGATGATTTGCTATTCCATTCATAGAAATCCAAATCATTGTTATGAAACATACCCATGGAAAGACCAATTGATCTTAAAAAAATCGGCACTAAAGTTGCTTCAAGAACTTCCCAGGTGTGAGTTTCGATCACAGCACCTATAAACGATTCTGTGATCTAACATCAAAATGATGCACATCCAACAACAACAAAGGCCAAAAAAAGTTATAAATTCTCCGATAATTACCAATAAATTACACTAGCCCAACTACTTTTATATTATACCTGATTAAGCAAGTCACGCTGCAATGGCTGTAGCACTTTGGCTAAAGGAAGAAAACATCTCAACACAAACGATCCTACAGCATCACAATCAGCCCCTGTAGAGAAATAAATTAGATGGAAGGACTCCTAGAAGAAAATGAGGGGGAACGAAACAGCTGCAAATGCTCCATTTCAGCACAGCATCGTAGTTTCTAATTAAAAATCCACCTCAAAAAAAAAAGAAAAAAACGAATGTTCAAAGTTAAAAAATTATTTTAAAAAAAAACAATAAATAATATGATAACTCACCCGTTTTCTCCAGGAGGTAACAAAAAGCACCCACCAGTGACACAAGATGGAGACGTTTATCAGCATCCAAATTATCACCCTCGTGGACAACATCCTGTTACATTCATCAAAATGTAAACTCCAAAAAACTCGATACTCCATAAGAAAAATACTCAACAAAAGCAATCCAATTCAGCTGGAAAGTTATTAGAAAAGAAAAGGCGAGAAAATTAGCGGTACCTTGAGAATACGAGGGAAATCATCGAGGAGTGAAGCGAAGAGCGAAGGCGGAGACAAACCAGTAGACACCAGAATGCAATCCAGCATTGGCGGAACGGCAGAAAGAGGAACCTGATAGAAGCTTTTCGACAGCGAAGCAACCACGGAAGCCATGGAATCGGAAGCTGCTTCTGCTTCGGACACAGTGTCACTCTTCTCCAATTGCATACGCAGTAAAACCCTAATTATCGGTTGCTAAACCTCAACCCTCGGGCACGTGTCTTAGTTCGCCGACTTAACGTCTACCGCCAGTTCTTCGCGCCCTGCTGCTTTATATTTATTTCCGTGGATGATTTAAAGATCATTTTCTCTTGTTGCGAATCTCTAATAAAAAATAATATAATATAGATAACATCTATAAATAATATTAAGTTTTTTAATCAAAATTTTGTGTGAAATATTATTTATTTAATAATTTTATATTTAAAAAAATAAAAAATAAGTGAAATTATTATTATTATCATATAGTAAAATTTTTATAAAAAATAAAAATGTGACTTTTGAAAGAAAATAAATAAATTTGATAGAACGAGGGATAAATTTAGAAACGTGAAAAAATTATTAATTTTTATAAACTTTAAAATATTTTTATATAAGAATGAAGAGATAAGTTTAGAAACTTTATAATAAAATGATTGATTTTTATGGATTTTAAAATATTTTTTATATCATAACCAATAGTTTTGTTAGTGTTATATATGTGTAGCTAAATGATGGTATATAATATTGATGAGTCATAGACTTCTAGTTACATAATCATAATCTTAATCCTCCACACAAAGTTAAAAATTTCATGTATTTTGACAAATTCAAAGTGAAAAATGAGATTTTTCCCTCCACAAAATTTGAATAAAGTTGAACTAAAAGATTATGATTTAAGATAAATTTATGAGAAAATAAAATTTCTTTGGAATCTATTACAACGTTTATAAATTGGTTAATAGGTGATTCAACATAGATTATATATCTTAGAACATCTTTATGATAATGAAACCAACCAACAAAAAGTATTAAGGTTATAAAGACTAATGCACCAACTGCAGTACAATATAGTGGTAATTCACTATTTATTTCAAATACTCACTAAATTAAAAATGGAGGTTATTTGTATTCTTCTGTAAAATTTAATCTTGGTAATAATCATATTAATTTTAAATTAATTTCACATTTTTTAATTGATGCAAGTGGTAAATAGTATAGATAATACATTTGCTTTAAACATATGTAATGATGAAAATATTGATTACATGTGTGTCAATAACAACTTGGTAAAACTATTATTTAATGAGAGTTCTTTAGACCCTTAAATTTATTTGTATTAAAATTCTGTGTCATGAGAATTAAAATTGAAGAAGTTAGTGCAATAAACAAAAAATTGGAGATGTATATGAATATGAAGACAAAGTTGATGATGATGGAGAAATTTCATTAGACAAATCTTTTAATACTAACAAAGGTTTATTTTGATTTAAACTTGAATATACCAAAAACAATACGAGAGTTATTTTTATTGATTGTCATTTATAGGACATGTAAGTATCATTTATGTATGCTTATATCATTATAATGTTGGTGTCAATTTCCTTTTTGGAACAGGTATATTAATTAGAAACAACTTGATCAAGAAATAGAACAAAAAATTTTGTTGTAAGAATAAATCAAGGTTATTTTGTTGTTGAGTTTAAGCAACCAATTTGCGTGTGAAGTGTTTGAACCATAAGAATAGTTATCAATGAAAAATAAGAATGAAATTATTGAAAAATTCAAATAAGCAAAAAATTATAAGATTGGATAGTACATGTACACGTATGAATCATTCGATTTCTCAAGATCAACGAAAGATAAATTTAGAGTTGATTTGCTTATCCAATTTTAGTATATAATAGTTTAAACACGAATATTTTTTATGAAATAATAATAATACAATACAAATTGTATATTTTCTTCAATTATATGTAGGTCAATCAATAACCTTAAATGTCTATTCATCAATTCAAAAGAAAATGACTACTTAAATTGGATATAAAATTTTATACAAATAAACTTAGAAGGCAAAACAAAAAAATATTGTAAGTGTGTTTGGACCATAATAAATCTTATATTACATTGTTAAAATGGTTAAATTACTTGCAATTATAAACTTTTTAATCTATTTATAAAATTGAAAGTTTTGTACAATGAGTAATGTTACAAATTACTTATTGCTACAACACAAAAATAAAGTAATTATATCTTTCAATAATATTTGCCACTATCAAAGGAAAAACTCTATCAACATGAAAATAATTTATAGATATGATTCATGGGCATATTATTAAAAAGATATATATTTGTTTGGTCATCATACATTGTTAAAAAGACAATGCAAAGGCGAAACTAACTTAGATGTTGACATGTGGCAAACTTCAACCTCAACCGTTCAAATTCAAATTTCAAATACCACGATACAACATATCTTAACATTTTGTCAAGATTTGTATTAAGTGTGACATTAATAATGATGTTACAAAAATCACCTTAGACAAAATATTGCTTTAAAATTTAATATTTTAATATATAATTTTTAGAAAAATAATACAAAATAAAAAATCTTTATCCTTATTTTTCTTTTTTTTATTAAGGCAATATTATATTTTTGAATCATTTGAATTTCTATATTTTTTTATTTTTTAACTTTTAAAAGATTCAATTTAATTCTCTAACTTTTAAAAATTTTAAATAATTATTTTTTAGAAAAATATTAATTCCATTAAAAATTTATCTTTTTTTCCACATAGACTGTTTATTGTCTTCTTTATATTTGTATTTTTTTAATTTTTTTTTCCTTTAGTTTCTTAACAACTATTTTCATTCCTTCGTCTCCCATCTTCCATCATGGTTTTTCCTTTCTTTCTCCTATTTTAACTTTGCAACATATACACTTTTCTTAACCTCTTTAACTATTTCTTAACCTCTAACATAACTCCATCTTCATCCACTCCTCCTCTCTATTCCCTTTGATTGTGAAATTTTTATTGTCACCATTTTTTAGTAGCTTATTTGTATCACATGCAAAACACGTTATCATCTCATCATTTTTAATCCTTCTATTAGACAGATTGTTAGTTTTCATATGTCTTGCAAACTATCCTTGTTTTTTTAGTGTCTTTATTACTTTCACCTTCAATTCCATAAACCCTTATCATAATAATTGCTTGCATGGTGGACACTAAAAGCTTCAAATTTTATATTTCTGAGATTGGGGTTTACTATCTTGCCATTAGATTTTGGAGAAACTTTTATGGGGTTGTTTCTTTCATCCTTTTGTTTATATTATGCTTCATTGATAAAAATGTTCCACGTGATTTTGTTGAGTGGTCATTAGGGTGTCAAAGAAAGGGTAACTATAAGGAATGAGTAAGGAAGAATAAAATGGGTAAGAAGAATAAGATAAGAGGGACCAAAAATAGAAAAAGAAAGAAGTGAGAGAGAAATAATAAATGAAAATATGAAATGAATGTTGAATTTTTATTATTGTTTTGGTATAAAAATAGACACTTAATGAGAAAGAATCACACTGATTTCATAATTTTTGGAGTTGCATTGAATGAGTTATGAATTTTACAATATTATACACAAAATTTGAAAAATATGATATTAATCAAGTCTATGATGATGAATCTTTCTCTTGTATGAGGAAATTGTGTTTAAGATAAAATTATACCATGTTAAATGAATTATGAACTTTGAATTGATTGTGATTGATGTTGTGATTGTGAATAAATTGCACAAAAAAGTGGTTGAAAAACAGTAGGTACAAGCGTAAGGCAAAAAAGAATTAGTTAAAATATCTACTAATAAGAATAGTAAAGTACCCAAGTACTAAAATTGGCTAAGTCTTGCTAACTTGTGTTATAGGCAAAAAGACCGTATTGAACTATCTTGACTAGTGCTCGAGCATCCAATGATTAGTGTGACGTAAACTGCTAGAAGTGACCATATTTTGAGATAATTGTCTACTAAAATTGTAGTCCCAAAAAGGGATAATGTACCTTACAGCACTATTTAAATTGCTGATACAAAATTCTCAATCTTTAACCCAAAGAACTTAGTTGACAAATAATTAATTGCTCCACGAAGAAAACATAATTAAAACTCTTGTTGATTGCTTGTTTGTTTCTTTATATTCATTAAGTAGTATTTAGCTTGTGGAATAATTTATGAATTGTTATACTCACCCTTTTCTTATTTTATATCCTTTAATAATTTTTTTATGTTAATTATGTGTGTATTTAGGGTTACTACTTAAATTTATTTGTTTTTACTTGTTATGTTTTAAATTTTAATAATTATGAGAGAATTAGGACTGTCTATATCCTATTTAGTACTATAATGTTATGCTATTGATGTGACATTAGTACTTCTATCATATGAGGATTTAATTTATCATATTATGTGTGGTTAAACCTATATAAAAGTATTAAATTGTTAGTCTTGAAAATTTACCTAAGATGATATAGAAAATAAAAATGTCACTCTTATTATTAATAATAGGGACATCTCAATACTAAACAATCATATGTGATGTCATTTGTTGTAAAGGAAATAATCTTAATAGATATGTATAGCAATGTTATACTAAACAAGCATATGAAATTCACTGTGTTTGGTCATCAACATAATTAATGTCCAAAAAATTAAGAATGATGTAATATTATTGTATGCTTATAACATAGTACTAAATAGACAACAAAAATTAAGAAGGGGACTACATGAAGATTCAAATCTTTCAAAATAAGGATTCCATTCTTAATATTGCTAAAATTATATATGATTTGGCCATAAAATATAAACTTTCACAAACTCACTAAATGAAATTTTTTGTGTAGATTTAAAAATTATACAAAGTAGTAATTTTTAATCAATTACTAAATACAATCTCAATCTAACTTGAACTTGGTGAGTTCTGTAAAAACTTGACACCTAGTGATAAAATACTCTACTTACAAAATTTTTAATTTATTCTTTGAAGGTTATTAATTGTGTATTGTATTTATCTTTTATTTTAGCAAAAACACAAGTCATAGTGATGCAAATAAGACTAAGGAAGTTTGGATACCTTACTCTTTATTTTGTTAATTTATTTTGAATCAATTAAATTATATGAAATTAAAATGCTTATGTATTTTGCAAGTCTAATTGATATTTAAATGGATATTATACAATTTTGCCAAATATGTTGGTGACTTGTATGGTGTTAATGATTATTTTCATTTTCCTTTATTTTTCGCTTTCTTCAACTATATCTTGTTAATTATCTTTACATTTTTAATTGATGATTAGTGATCTATATTATCATCCATATATGTTCTTCTTACAAAATTAATTTTTTTAAATATTTCATATTATCTTTTATTTCTTAAAAAAGAGAGAGAGAGAAAATGCTCATAACAATTAATGATATGTTACTAATTTTTGTTAATTAAATTTAAAATTTAAAATCAATCACTAACAATAATCAAAATATTAGACACTAACTTTTCTAACATAGGACCCAAATAAAATTAGTGCCTATTTGTGGGTTACACAAAGGAAACTAAGAGTTATTACTTCTATAATCTTATAGAAAGCAAAGTTTTTGTTGTTAGGAGTGTAGTATTCTTGTAAAGAGAGTTTATTTACAAAGGAATTTGAGCACAAAACACAAAGTATTATGATACCACAAGGTCAGGTGGCATAGAACTTGTGTAGGCCTAATAGAATAGATTACCAACCTAAGATATACGAGTTTCTTGTAACTCAAGAGGGAGAAGTATTGCCAATAGATCAAAATAAGCCAACGACCTACTAAAAAGCTATTGCAAGTCCATAATATGAGAAATAACTTGAAACCATGAGATGTGAGATGGATTCTATGCACATTAATTAGGTATTAAACTTGATTGATCCACCTGAAAAGGGTAAAACTCATCGGGTGCAAGTGGGTTTTTATAAAGAAAAATACCATGGATGGTAATGTAAGTACCTTCAAAGAGTGGGTAACTATTTCAAAAAAAGTTATAGTGTAGGTTATGATGAGAATTTTTTCTCAGTTGCTAGCTTAAATCTATTCAAATCTTATTTACTATTGCAATATAACATAATTATAAAATTTGGCAAATGAATGTCAAGATAACTTTCCTAAATGGAAACCTTACTGGGGATGTGTATATTACACAACTTGAAGATTAAGTCTCGCCTTAAGGTTCGTTAAGATAACTTTCTAAATGGAAACCTTATTAAGGATATGTATATAACATAACTTGAAAGTTACATCATGCCTGAATGTTCTAGTCAGGCATGTTAGCTACAACGTTTCATTTATATACTAAAGCAAGCTTGTAAAAACTATTTTGATGAAGTTGTTAAGAAGTTTGGCTTCATTAAGATCAAAGATGAGCTTTGTGTCTACAAGAAGGTTAATAATTGCATAATTGTTTTTATGGTATTGTATGTGGATGACATACTACTCATTAGAAATATCATTTGTATCCTTCAATACTTAAAGACTTGATTAGATAATTGCTTTTTGATGAAGGACTTCGTCAAGACAACCTATGTACTAGGTATCAAAATCTTTAAAGATATAGATCACAAAGGTTACTTGGTCGAAGCTAAAGTACATAAGTGAAAAAAGTGTTTAAGCATTTCAATATGCATAATTCTAAGGGAGGTTGTCTACATATGTCACATGATATAAGCATTTCCAAGGCTCAATTTTCTTTCACCAAGAAAAAAGGAGATCATATGAATAAGATTTCATATACATCACATGTCTTATGTATGACAAGGAAGTACCAGTCAAATCCTAGTGAAGGTTATTGGACTATTGTCAAGAACATCCTTAAGTATATAAGAATGACTAAGGATTCATTCTTGATATATGGTGAGAAGGATAAATTAAAAATAAAAAATTACACCAATATTAACTTCTAAACTGACAAAAATGATTCAAGATCATAATTAATTTATGTATTTTGTTTAAATAATGGTACTGTAAGTTAGAAGAGTTCAAACCAATAAATTGTCATTGATTTTACTATAAAAGTTAAGTATATTGTTACTTCAAATGTTGCAAAAAAAAATCATTTATATTAAAAATTATATCTCTATTTATTTTTATAATATATATATATATATATATATATAAATATAAAGCATGATTAATAGTTAAGTATTTATACCTCTATTTATTTTTATAAAATTTATAGATGTTTTTTTATATTTATATTAATTTTAAAAATAAATACTTTATAAATATTTATTGGACTACTTTATCAGTTGATATTCTCATTCTTAGGATGTGAGAGATTTCTTTTAAAAAATACTAATATGGCTAGGTGTTAATATTTTAATAAATAATTTTTAAAAATTAATAAAAAAAGCCATAAATGTTGTCATCTTATGTTTAATATTTTATCGTTCCTCCACTCCTTTCGTCCAATCAGGAATCAGTGTGAGTACAACAGTAACACTCATCAACATTCGTACGCATTTGAACCACTCTTGCTTCCTAGTTCTAATACCTTCCCCTTTTCTTTCTTCATCTGAAAATGCGGTGTATCTTAATCCTCCTTTTTATTCTGGGTACTTTCTTCTTTCACTATTACATTTTGTACTCTATTTAGGGAAAAAAGGCAGCAACACCCTAAAGTTTCTAATGTAAATTGCACCCATGACTCAAAGTTTTATTTTATTTATTTTAGATGTTTTGCTGGTTGTTCTTGGTTGTTAAACGGAGACTAAGTTTTCATAGTTGAAGAGTGCAGGAAATAACTTCAGTCACGTTTTGTTACCTTTTCAGGCTTGTTTAGATATGCTTTGGCTGAAGGAGGGTTTTGCTCTGCTCCTTCTGTGCTTAGCATTGAATCAGAAGCGAGACCTCTTTATTGGAAAGTTGACAACCCCACTCTTTCTCCTCTCCATCTTCAAGGTTAGAAAATGATCAAGTTATTATGTTTAGGAAATAATTTTTTTGTTGTACTATTTTTTTTTAATCTTAGAAAATGATTATGTTATTATGGTGTTGATGTAAGTTGTTTAATGGAGCAAGAAGCAAATAAGGACTGTTGGTGGTTACTGATTGGATTTCCCTTGAAATCTTTATGTGCTGTGTTACTTTTTAAACTGAAGGAGAGTGAATATAACTAGGTTGGGAATAAAATAACCAATTCTGTGTTGGAAAACACTGGAGCTTTTGATTGGCTAAGTGGCTCAAACAAGTTACGTAAATGTAAAAAATAAAAGATAAGTGTATAATACGACATAAGACATAAAGATGTACATTTTGTGGCAGGCTAGTTAGCTGTGAGCTTTGTCAAACTCGAAAAGTTCATGGCATTTGCTTTGCTTTACCCATTTCCTTCTCCTACTTCTGAACACATGACTTCTATTTTTTTTAGATAAAGCTGTGGACTTCAAAATTATTATGATATTGTTATGTTTGGTTGCTGAATGAATTTGCCTAAGTGGTGAAACGGTACACTTTACTACCAGGCTTGATTATTAGAATACTTACTTGAGTTGTGATCTTTGTTTTATTTGTGAACTATATAAAAATGATTTTTAGATATCAAGGTTTCTGATACTGTTGAGTCCTCAACTATTTTCTAGAACAGATATATATTGTGAAAATGTGTTGAACTGAGATTGCTCTGCTTTTGTTCGTCAGATTTGCCTGGATTCACACGCAGTGTTTATAAGAGAGATCATGCTTTGATATCACCAGAAAGTCATGTATATAGCCCATTACCTGATTGGTACTCTTGACTTTCCTCATTTGTTCTGGCCATGATGTTTAAGCCTCTTCAATGCCCTCTTGTTGTGTAGTAACCTAAATTTCTTTGACAGGATAAATACATCAGGGGCATATTTAATTTCACCACAAATGGGTTCACACTTTGTAATGTACCTAGCTAAGTTGAAAGGTTTGATTATGATTTATTTCATTGAATTTATCATATTTACTAAGTTGCACAGGTCATATTCTCATCAGATGAGATATTGTTGCTTCAGTTGGGGGAATCAATTATTCTAAAATACATAAATTTGCTAACAATGCATAATTTGGATGCCTCTTTCTTTCTTCTTTGAATATCTGAAGCATATGGGTTATGTACAAAGCCTCCTTTACATTAGATCGATGTCATTGAGAAAAAGAAAAAGTGTGGCATGAAAAATATTGAACACTCATGAAAGACAATAAAAGAAAAATAACTCTGCAAAGGTAATTGCATGGCATAAAATCTGGTTGCATCCCTCACTGATGCTTCTTTTTGTACAACCCAAAAGTGGTTTTCTGGTTCAAGAACTGCTGTCACATACTTGATCTTTACAAAGCCCTGGAATGGCATGTAAGTTGTAACTGGACCTTAGTAAAATATCCTTCTTGCATGAGTCAGTGCCATCATGTCTGGAGCTCTGATTGTTTCATCATTCTGTAACCAACCTCCAATCTGAATAATGCTTTGCTTTTGTGTCAGCCTAATTTTTAATATTCAATAATATCTTATTTGCTTCTATTTTTAGGGATCATAATGATATTGGGTTAAAATTTCTACCATAGCCTCCGAGCCTACCCTTACACTTCACCTTCACTCAGTAATAGCATTTCATTTGCATTGTTTAATGTTATATGCATGGTGCAATTTATAGTTTGTCACTGGAACTCATCTTTCTGGTAAACTTCTGATTTATGCTTTGGCTGTTACACAGAAAATTCAAGATCAGGACTACCCTTGCATGATGTGGAGAGGTTGTAAACTTGTTATTTTGCTTTTTCAGTTTCTGAATTCTACTCCTCCCCAATTCCTTTTCCTTGACACTCCAATCCATTTGACATTGTTTCTGGCTCTAAATGCATGTTTAATGTATTTGCAAGATTGTTATGTGTAGATTCATCTTTGTGCTCCAAGGTGCTGTCACCCTCACTGATGCTGCTGGTGTTAGCCATGTAATGAAGGTAACAAGTTAATGACTATCATTTAAACAAGTTATTCTGTCAGTATGATCACTAATTTTGAGTAATGTTAAAATTGATATCCTTATTCCTAATATTATATAAATCTCAGGCTTGGTTGATGTGTTTTTAAATTACTAATAGCTTTTATTTAAAATAATAGAAGAAAATATTATTAGAAATAAAAAAAAAATGGAGGATAAATATCTTCTTTAGAAGAAACAGTTGAAGACAACTGTGAGCCAAATTGGCTTGCAGATGAAACAAATCTTATGATCTCTTTCCATATCAATAATAGCAAGTCCCTGAAACGACCATAAGCAAAGAGCACCCAATAGAAGCTGTAAACGTTGTTTTGTTCCATAAAATATTTAGGGCAAATAGACACCCTTGAAAATATGGGCATCCCTCTCTACTACCGAATACATTAGAGAGCTGCTCATGCTACTCATTTCTATAAACTTGTGGCCTCCTAATTGCAGCTGTACCCTTTGAAACTTATCATGAGAAATAGCTCCAAGGTGGAAACACCCAATGTTCACCTGAAGGCACACAATACAAACACATCTTATGTTTCTAAACCACATTTCAGGGGAACAAGCTTTCATATATCACTTCTTCAGGAAACGTGCATGACGTATGCTTAGTGCTGTTTTTGCTAATTTTGGTTACATTTTCTCTGAGGTCCAGCTTATTATTTATTCCTGGCAGTAGGTTAGCTTCAATTTCAAGATACGATCTTTGAAATGTTGTTTTTTTTATATATAAAAATCAATAATGACTGATGTGGCTTAAATTTTTTACTTGTACCATGCTACTACAATCTTTTGTTGCTAGAGAAGCTTTGTGCATTGATGATTTAGATAATAGGAAAATTATGCGAAGAAAGAAAAAGGGATGGAATGAAGGCACAAATTGATTAACAGCTTAAGTAATGCTTTCTTATTTGTCACACTCTATTCTTTGGTTTTCTCAAATAATGGATTTGAGAATGCAAGACTGACTCCTTTGGTGAATCCTCTTATTTTTTGGTTATATAAAGGAAGCATAGAAATATATGTTTCTCTGTATGAAACTTATAATTAACCTTAGTCTATTTGCACACTGCTTAGCTATATGCAGCATGCTATGTGATCAAGATCAAGATTAGTGGTTATGTAATACCACCATAACAGTTGCAGTGTCTTTCATGTTTTTGTCTGGCTATTAGCTTATATCATTATTTGTGAAAATTTAGATAATCACAATATTTTCTGTAAAGGCTTTAAAAAATATGATGCTATGGTTTTAATTACAGGTGGATTCATATGCTTATTTACCTCCAAATTATGAACATTCCGTTGAATGTGATGCACCTGCTACTGTTGTGGTATTTGAACGAAGGTTTGTATTTTGTAATTCCCCCTCTTGTAATTTATAATGTAGGTTTGATGATTTCATCCCACCGTGTCACCTTGCCATTATGAGAATTCATGCAATTTATTATAGTTATAATGTTGAAAATGGTTTGATGAATCCAGTTTAGTTTCAAGATGCTTTGCTAAGTAGCATAAGTTGGTACAGTTTTCAAGGATTATATATCATATTTTTGCAGTCATGAGTACTCTAATGAAGTACCTAAAATGTCTACAATATATTAGATATGTTCTGCTGCCAAATCATGTCCCGGAGCCAGTAGTTAATTCAACAGATAAGCAGCCACTTCTTGAAACTCCGGGTGAGGTAAGTGTTGACTCCAGTATACGGAAAGGCATTTTTTTTTATTTTACTTGTTTTAAATTGAACCATTATATTTTCCAATGTAAGATTACAGTTCATACAAGAAAATTAATGCTGCTACTACAAGTTTACAACTACTAATGTTGTCTGTAGCAATTCTTAAAGGCTTTGGGTTCATGTCACCTCTTGTCATTAATCTGAGAGTCCATACATTACTCCAAGCACGTAGATGTCTGACTTTTCTGGGTTCAGATAACTTTCAAGTTAATGTGACAGTTTATGTTTAACAAATGATACAAGTCACTGTATGATCTTGGTCTGTAGGTCAATTGGGATATATTAGAATTTCCCTCCCTCCCTCTCTCAATGTGTGTGTGTGTGTGTTTACCTTTTTGGTAAACAAGACTGCAAATTGCATGCGGGTGTGACAGTTCTGATTTAATTCTCTCTATATACATTATCAGATTTTTGAACTGCGGAAGCTACTTCCGACATCTTTGGCATATGACTTCAATATCCATGTAAGCTCAAATCTGTCTCTGATCTACCTATTCAAATTTTTGTTGTGGTCAATTTCAGTTAAATGTTACTGATATACCCATGACTGCAGATAATGGATTTTCAACCTGGAGAATTTCTTAATGTAAAGGTAATCTTTGGTTCCTCTGCCCATAAAATACTGATGTGGATATGTTATGTATGTCTTACAGCTATTTTAAGAATGAGTCATATTACAGTGAGGATATGATGATAAATTACTTCTCCTTTTGTACTTATAAACTTTTCATTAAATGACATACGACTGTGGTGTAAATTGTAATACTGTAATTTAATAATCTAGTCATGCAGTCGCTCTTAATGGCACCACCAGATATATGAAGATTCTGTTCTATACTTTAATGTGCAGTTACAGTTTTATTTTAACAATATGGTTACTAATATCTGGAATTTGAAATTGTACTAACAGTCCTGGACCAGGCAGTACTCGCAGGGATGCATTTAATGTAGTCTTCTGATTTAACCTATTATCCATAGTAATTTTTTCATTAATGGAATCAGAGTTTTGGTTTTTTCATTCGATGTCATTGAAACTTGTATAAAACAAGTACCCGAACAAATTCAAATCAAGATACTTATGGAATAGTCAGTAGTCTTCTTTGCATGACTATGGAGGTTTTATAAATTTCAAAACTTATTAATGTGTGTTATGCCATTTTCAATCAATAAATATCCTTAATACATTTTATCAAACAAATAAAAATAAAAGGATAAACATCCTTAATACAGTTGTACTTCCATGAAATTGTTTTTGATATCGGCAAGGGCATTTTCTTTTTCATGTGAGGATCTATGATACTCTTCTCAAAATTGTTAATATCCAAGTCTAGGAGAACTTAGTTTGTCTTCCTACAAAAGTATAAGGGGCTTTAAAATTTTATATTATTTGTTGTGGCTTTTGCAGGAGGTCCATTATAATCAGCATGGTTTACTGCTATTGGAAGGACAGGGCATCTATCGTTTGGGTGATAGTTGGTAAGAGTGATAGACCTAACCTGTCAAAGATATTGGCATTTTTTTTTCTTCCATTAAACTTAATTGAGTATTTCTGCATTTAAAGAGGAAGTTTCACTTGGCCTATGCGCAAGTGTGTGACTGGTATATACAAAATCTTCTGTATATATTAAATAACGTGTTAGAAATATTAGTAATTCATTGAGCTTTTTTGGGATCTTGGCCCTCTATTGGCTACTAATGGTTTTAGAACTATCGAACATACCTGATGGCCATGAATGTTTGTGCGTCTTGGTTGAGGAGAGCATTACACTGCTTTTTTGTCAAGTCTCACAACTGGCTTACAAGTTTATGCACTGTCTGCCAGCTTTTTGGGTTAGATTTTAGGCTGTGTTCTTCGGTGGTTTTGGATATTGGTTCCCTGATTGTTCATGTTTTTTCAAGATTGACTTGTTACTAGATAGTTTATTCTTATCATTGAAAGCTGACACACCTTTTATTGTTTTTGTGTTTATTGTTTTTGAATAGGTACCCAGTTCAAGCAGGTGATGTCATTTGGATGGCACCATTCGTTCCACAATGGTAAATTATATTTAACTATGTATAGTTTTTTAACCTCTCACGGTTTCCTTTAACCTGAGCATATAACTACATTCTTACCTATTCATTGTTACATTACGTGACATTCATTTGTCTTACAACATGTCGTAATACTCTTGCTGGTGTCTTCAGGTATGCTGCCCTCGGGAAAACTAGAACAAGATATCTTCTCTACAAAGACGTGAACAGAAGCCCGTTATAATTGTAATGTTGATGGACGTTAGATGAATGTCATGAATGATATAGTCATCCGCTTCTTATTTAACGATTTAAATAAACGAAGAATTGTTACTGAATAGTGAATACATTTAAACGTCTATCATATGCTTAATGTTTTAGCGTTCGTTCACCTCAATTTCATTTTCATCGAGTATTGAATGTACAATATTAAATTAACCGTAGGCTTGAATATTTCATTTTCATCATCAAGTTGAGTTTTCAAATAGTCCTAAAATAGATTTCATAGAACTTAGGAAGGATGTATCATACGTTTATGACGTTTCTAACACGTTATTTAATATATAGGTTTAATCACTTCCGATAACTTTTGTTGACAGAAGGAAAACGATAAGGGGATTAAATTTCAAATTACCTGGATACAAGGGTTTGATATGTTGTAAATAAATTATCTCAAAATTGTTGGATGAAAATGTATCGAAGAATTTTTACTTTTTTAACATCAAATGATTAATTACCTGATTAGTTTAAGTTATCTGGCTTCTTAAATGTTTTAAGAGAAAAAAAAAAGTTTTTGGCAAAATGAGATTTATGAAATTTTGAGGTATTATACACTAAATGTTGATTTTTTCAGTAGACACTTAATTGATAAAGAGATATTAGGGCATTAGTTATTTTTTACAAATAGGTCGCTCTTGATAATTAGCTAGGTTTGGATGTGAGCTGACATTAATTGACAATTGATAGACAAAAAACGTAATGTTAGCCATTTGATGACTAATAGGTAGTAGTTAAAAGGTTAGAGCCAAACAACCTTTTAGGAAGAAACTGTTGGACTAATACTAGGTCGTGGAGGCTACATATCATATTAGACAAAGATGAAACAAGAACGAATTTACACGCTGATTGGTTTGCAATTCGAAATAAATTCCCCAAGAATCATAAATGAATCAATGCCACAAACATCATTTTGAAAATGATGTTAACCATTGATTTCAATTTTTAGATTTGCATTATGTCACCAACACAAAACCAAACGTGCACTTAGTTATTTCAAGTTGGAGTTAGCTCTTTAAAGATAGGAATGTGTTTAAATGGATTTAAACTAAATATCTTCAGGACTCAATTGTTAGAATTTTTCATTAAAATTTATTTATAAGTTACAATCAATTGTGATTTTTATTTTATTAAAAACAGGCTAATATTATGATCCATTTGATGATGTTTAAGCCTATTAATAATGTGATCAATTACTTATGGGCTTTGGACACTTAATACTGATCTATGTGAGATATAGTGTGGGCCTAACCTCTAGGTTTATGATGAGAAATGCTTAGAGTTAATAAATACAATGGCTAAGTTCCCTTTGCCGTCACGGAAACACATTCCACTGCTCTCTAAGTTTGTCCCATTGAGAACCTATGATTAGAAGAGCATGATTAGGTAAAGGAAAATCTTAACTTTTCACTCACGAAAGAATTCGCACGTCACGTAAATCATTTACGATATAATTCACAATGTCTATAACAAGTAAGTGACTTTACCACCGCTTCACAATTAATATTCTAAATTCATATAATTAGATTCAACTCAATTTATTCCTACATTTAATATCAGAGCCTATCATTATATGATTTAGAATTCAATTATTAATTTTTAATTAATCTGAATTTAGATTAAATTATACAGTATGTATTATTTTTTGCTGCTTGAATTGGTGATGTTCAATTCTTAAAATTAAATCAACTTTGATTTCAATATTGAATTATTGCCTATGTCATTTATGTTGTTAATATATATTATTGTAATTTTATTTCTAAAATTAAATTGTTGCTATCTCTAAATTGAGCTCAATGAATAAATTTAAATTCACGTCGAAGAATTTTTTAATGCTATTGTTATTGCATTGTAATATTCAATATTTTAATACCTTGAATTGAATAAATATTTTAATTGCTATGTCATAATATTTAATATTTCAATGTTTTTCAATTAAATATGAATATTTTATATGCTTATTTCAATTTTGCTGCAAGCATTGTTTTTAATTACACTTGTTTGCAATCTCTAATTCCAATTTAATGCGTTGCTATGTGTTACTACTATTACCTTTATTATTTTCAATTTCAATTTGATGCATTACTATAGTATGATGTTTTGCGATGTTTTCAATAATATTGTTATTGCGACTGATACCATATTTTTAATCCGATATTTGCGTTATTGTTATCGTGTTTGTTACAAATTCTTCCGCTGTTGTAATGTTAATTTTTTAAATTTTGAATTCAAAATATTTTGATCCTATTTTTTTTTATTATTATTGCAATTTTGGATTACATGTATTATTCTTGTTGTCATCTTAAATTACATGTATTATGTTGCTTTCCAAAATTTGAATTTTATGATATTCTTCCATTGGGTCGATTGTCATATGAAATTTATGCTTTTCAATTTTCAAATTTTGAATTTAGTATTCTACTGTCATACTGTCACAATATGTGATACGTTTTTGTGATGCAAATTTTGAAGTATTATATTACGTTATGTTGCTGCCATTCATCGTTGATTTGTCAATTTTATAACTTATCAAATTTTGTAATCGCTGTTTGTATTTATTCAGGGTCCATTTTGAATCACATGTCTATTGCGTTAATATATATAATATATATTATAATATTTGATTTTTTGGCTGCTATCTTGTTGCATTTCTAAATCTATTGATCTTTGCCTCTAATATTATTTGAATATGCGTTAATAATTTCTTAACTTTTTTTTATGTTTATATGTTTAATATACATTAATTGTGGAGTTACGTAATTCAATGAGCATTTGTTTGATATAATTTAATTTTAAAATTACCCGATTCAATGTGAATGTCATATGGCCATTTTAATTTTGAATGAATCACGTTATGTGTGTGTCTTCCATAGCTAATTTTATTTATTTATGTTCTGCAAATCAGCTCTCTATTGTTACTAGCGCTTCAATTTTAATTTTTAATAATTGAATTATTCTGCCGTTGCCTACGACAAATTACTACGCATTTTGTTTTTAATTGATTTGTGTGATCCAATATTTATGCAATATCGTTAGCAATTGCAACTACTACTGCTGAGCGCTTGCTTTGAATTATGTGATGCAATGCTATGTTGAGTTTATTGCCATATGTGGATATTTTGCTGCCATATGGGTTAATAATCAAAATAAATTAAAATTTAAGCTGAAAAGAATCAAACATGATACTATGATTATGTTCGACCAACCTTGACATTATTAATTTATGTTATATATTTTGTGGTGAATTATATATTATTTTGTTTTGTATGGAATAATATTTAAGCTTGCATTAATTATTATTGTTATATGTTAATATTTTGTAGTTACATATAATTGAGGGGATATGTAATATCATTGCATGATTGTATATATATATACACATTATTTTGATGTCGTGTGTTCAAATTTTGAATTGCAATATTGATGTCGTCGCCACATACTTATTAAAGAATGTGAGCTTTCTGTTATGGCGTTTCTTATTTCTATTGTATTATAATGATGTGTTTCTGTTGCTACTATTATGTTACGCAGTAATTTTGAATAATATTTGATTCTTGAATTTTATTGTTTCTGCTGCATCACAAATGCAATTGTGGAGATTTAAATTACTATAAGTTTTTATTTTTCATTGATGCCAATTCAAATTTTGAATTACATGTTCTATTGTAATTTTTTCAAATTTTGAGTTACTATTACAATCTTTCAAATTTTGAAATTCAAATTTTGTGGTCAAAGGAGTTGATTTGTTGAAGTAGCTATTGGAGGTGATATATTTGCCTAAAGGAGATAAAATTTGAACCTAGTATTTGCTCATTGAGTAACTCATTTTGAAATTTATGGATGAAGTTATTGAATGCAACATTGGTTTAGATAATCTGTTTGATCAAAGGGAATAGGTTCTTAAAACCATTATATGCTTATTGAGTAACTCATCTGAGGTTCGGACCTTGATGATCGTAGTTTATGCATTCTGCCCAAAGGGGAATGTGTAATTATGTTGACCTCATTATAAGGACTTACATATGTTAAAGTTATGCATTACCATTATTATGTAATTTGATGTAAAATTAATTCATCATTATTATTGTTATAAGTTTTAGTTTCTGCTACTACAACTTAGATATTGTATTCCTAAGAGCTCTTGTGCTCAATTCTCTTATTTGATTTTGTGCAACAAAATTATTGTTAATATTTAGTTATGATTTAATAACATTTTTTTAATATATGATTATAACCACTTGAGTATAAAATATTTTGAGAATGCAATTGATAATTAACGAATGACTAATAAGAATGTTGTTGGATGCGTATTTTCTTTTTGACTAAGTCATGATTTTAGACAAGAGATAATTGATTCCTGTATAAGAGTTTTCATAGATTGCTACAAGCTGTTACCACCAAAGTGGGACAATTTGTATTGGTTTATGGAGAATTTTATAATTTGAGGAATGCTTTTGATCCTTGCATACGATTGCCTGCCCAAAGGGGTAGTTGTATATTTGGGTTGAGAGTTGAAAATGGATGGTGTTATTAGAGAATGCATTGAGTTAAGAGATTTGTTTGCCCAAAGGGGACAATTTTCTGAGTTTAGTGTGTACTCATGGATTAACCCATTTGAGGACTGACCAGGGTAAATGACCTTGGTTTATGCATTCTACCCAAAGGGAAATGTACTATTTTACTGGCCTCACATTGATAGTTTATTATCATCTTGAGCTATACCTTGTCTTATAATTTATTCTTATGCATTCTTGTTTTTATCCTTATAGTGAATTTTCTCAGGAATAATTATTTTGTCACCTAATTGTACCATAGCAAAAGAAAGCAATACCTAAAATTGTCTTTTGGAATTGTTGTTCTTGGTTTATTTTTGCGTGAGGGATAAGCCCATAATCAACTAGTAAAATACACATGAATAAAAGAAACTTTTAGCTTAGTGGGAGAAGTTTGATAGGTGAAGTTTGATTGTTATCAAGAGAACTAAATCTAGACATCTTTTGAGTTAATGAGAGTAAATAATTAGACATAACATTACTTTAATAGTTTACATTTTGGCTACATGTGAATACATTCTTTGGATTCATCATTGAGTAATTGTTAAGAAAGTAATGAAGTACTTGCAAGAATTTTAAATATAATTATTAAAGATAACACAATTATATATAATACACATCATAACATCTCAATACAATTCCAACTATATGTAATT